TCCAAGTTAAGGTGATACTTTAAACCTTCAATGTTTTAAACTTCAAATCGATCTCTTGTGGGAAAACATGATTTAGAGTAAAAAAAAAATCAGAACACAGGGGCGGGGCTACCTGTGATTGCGGGTCTGCTAAACAGGGGTAGGGTCATCTGTGATTGGCCAGTCTAATAAAAAGGGGCGGGGCCATCTGTTTTAGCAGCTGTACTTAAACAGGGGCGGGGCCACCTGTGATTGGCAGGAATACTAAAATAGGGGCGGGGCCACCTGTGATTGGCAGGTCTACTAAAACTTGATTTATGGACTCATGAAGGTACGCTCACTTCCTCTGCAGCCTCTGATTGGCTCTCCTTCTTTAATTCCCCACCACAGAGTCTCTTCTCCTCCCGCTCCACTCCTCCTCTCATCCCTCCATCACCTCCTCTTCCTCTCCTCATGTTAACCTCATTGCTCATCTGTTGTTTGTTCTCTCTCTCTCTCTCTCTCTCTCTCTCTGTTTTTTTCTTTTCTTCCCGTCTGTGTAGGCAGCCCGTTGAGTAACTTCTTTGACGTAATTAAACAGCTTTTTTCAGACGAGAAGAACATCCAACCGTCCCACCCCCCTGGCGCCCCCGCCACGCCTAGCTCCCCCGCCAAGCATGCCCCCAGCAGCAAGCCAAACCAGCCCCCGCCCAATGACTCTAAATGCCCGCCTGGCAAAGACAAAACAAAGATGGCCGCCAGCAACAGGACACAGGAACAACCTTAAGGAGCGGTAGCCGTGCATGAGTAGAAGGCGAGCAGTTTTCAGGTCTCTGTCCATAAGGAGGACAGAGGAGAGCTGCTGACTTTGCCCTTTAGCTAGGACACAAACGAAAAAGAGAAATCTACTTTTTGCCTATAAATTTTCTACTCTGACAGGAATGGCTCTTCCCGTTTAAAGTCCATCAGTATTTTACAATAAGTAGCAGATGTAGCTTTGTCGTCCCCCGTCCCCCCTTCTGTCCCTCTCTGTGTCCTCGGGGGTCTTTCAGTGGGTGTGTGTCCTCCTCCTCACATGTGTCATGGCTTGACTTGTCTCTGCCACCAGGGATCATCCATAATAACTATTAACCTCGGCGGCTCCTCCGGACTTCGCCGCCGCCGCCAAGAGAGTCCGAAAAGCTGGAGAACAGACAGACAGACAGACAGACAGACAGAGGACCCTCCCCCGTCCTCCTCCTCCCCCCTCTTCACTTCACCCCCCAACCCCACCCCCCTCCAGCCGCATCAGAAGAGTCTTCGCTCCCCACCAGACCAAACACACTCAGAAGAGTTGTAAAAAGAAAAAAAAGCCTTAAGACAGTGATGTTTGTCCACCTACACACACACACACACACACACACACACACACACACACACACACACACACACACACACCTCCTTCCTCCCTCCTCTTCCTCCCACATGTACATAAACACACACTGTACCCTCTCCTCACACAAACTTCTCTGCGGGATGTAATGACTTGCACACGCTGACAAACATGAAGCAGGACTAGCGGCTGAAGGCGCACAGACGGGCTCTCGCTGGATTGTAATTCTTTTTATTGTCGTCTTTTTTTTGTGAGTGGTCGAATCTCTGGAGCTCGCTCTGTGACGTTTCTGTAAACGGGTTCTGGCAGCTCGAAGGCTGCCGGCAAAGTACGAAGAAAGGGGAGGCGGTGTTACATAAATGAATGATCTATTCTGTTGTACAGATTAAATAATGTTCTGTATGTACAAAAGTGTAGTTGTGACATTATGTTTTAGATTTGTGTTGCTGTTTTTTGATTTGACCTGTTCAGACCTGATCACGCCAGAGGAGGAAACGTTAGCGAGGAGATCCACCCGTCCTCCTGAATCTCTCTTTTGAGAAAGTTTCTGGATCACGGTTTCTGTTTTTGATCACGTTCTTACGGTTTCATACACACCAGTACTGAGCTGAGGTTGGTGTTTTTAGTTCAACATAAATTTAGCGCCCTCTGCTGAGCGGAGGTAAGAGTTACGCCCTGTGTTGTGTCGATACTGAAGCTCAAAAGCTGGTGTTGTTTCAGTTAAGCGCACAGATTCAGTCTAAAGCTGAAAAACATACAGGATCCGTGTTGAGCACGCTCCGTCAGTGTCACGTATTTGCTCCGTCGAGCAGCGCCGTCTGTCACATACAGGATGTGTGTTTGTAGCGCAGCAGCAGCGTAGTTCAGCCCCAATCAGCTGGGCTCAGTGTAGAGGAAACAACACGCTCACAACAGGTTATTTTTTTCTTTCTGTGGTCGATTTCCTGATAATTTAGATATATTTCAGTGACTGTTGAGCCTCTACTGTCTGTGAAAAAGCAACGTGATTTTAAAGTTTAAGTTTTTTCAGGTTTACTCATGTTTAATAAAGTAAACTATGTTCCTTCAGACATAGTTAGCAGTTCAAAGTCCAAAGTCGGATTGTTCTGTGTTACTGATAAATCCAGAACCAGAAAGGAGTTCGAATATGGTGTTTTATTTTGAAATTTACCGGATGACGTGCGGTTTTCCTGCTTGACTTCCTGTCTAAAATGATCTCAGTGTAGATTGACGCGTGTTGGAAGCGTAGAGCAGAGAAAATAGACTCGACGTGTTTCGGCTTCTGAGATGGCGCTGCGACACTTCCTGTGTGCGAAGCTGCATTTATTAGAATAGGAACCTATTTGCTGCGTGATACGTGACGCTCACATTACTCGGTCAACACGTATCCTGTTTGTTTTAGGGTTAAAGTGTCTGAGCTCGTCTCAAAGAGGAAAAGTGACTCATGAGCTTTGAAGGTTTCGTAAACACTTTGTGACGACGTGATTCCACATTTATTCACTGAAACTTGTTTTTATGTACGAATGTTGATGGATCGGGGTCAGGGCTTATTTCACGTCTCACAGGATTCCTGAAATTGAATTTCCCTCAAAAAGGCGATCATTGAAAGACACTGACAGCTCGACTAAATTTGGTGAAATAAAGTTTAGATTTTTCTCAGTTATAAAGTTTGAGAGTCCCTCTAAATCAAAACCAAACACTTCAGCAGAGATCTGGATTTACTGTCGAGTAGTTGCGTTCTTCTTCATCAGGGTTTACGAGCTACAGCATGAATCTCGGCGGTGCAGCGACGCCATCGTGTCCGACTGTTTTCTCTTACTGTCACATTCGAGACCAGATTCGCCAACATCACGATCGTGTCCGATATACGACGACTTCCTCTCTGGTGTGATCAGAACTCATCTTTTCCTTTTTGCACTTTTTCAGGAGTGACTCAGATCTGGGTTCAGTTCGATCACGTCAGCGTATTTTTGATTTCTATTATAATTTTCTACGATATTGAACTGCTGTGTATATTTTTGTACTTGACTGTATTTTACCATGTTTGTTCTTAATTTATTCTGGGTTATTTATAAGACAGATGAAGAGAATGTTTCTTAACGTCAAAGTAATTTAAGGATATTTGGCTTTAAGTTCTCCGAACATGTCTGTGAGTTCTTTTTTTTTTTTTGACCAGAGAAACTTTGTAAAATACGTTTTTTGGGAAATGATTTACCGTAATTTAAGAATGTAGTCGTAGCCTCTCTGAGAGGACCAAACCCTTTGTTGATACTGTCGGCTCCTCTTCCCTCCTCCGTGTGTATGAAGACTCAGATCTCAGCAGACACTCTTTTCTGTAAATAAGCCGAGTTTACCGACACGCTTATTTAAAAAACCGAGGGGACTCCTACTCTTAGCTTTGACCTCGTACGCTTGTTTGCATGTTCAGCATTCGTCTTTTCTTTGCATGTCGTCGTTGGAATTGTTCTCCCGTTCCCTTTTTCTCTCCACTTATTTATGTATTTATGTTTTTTTTATTTTTTTTATGTGCATTTCTTTTTATTTGCCGTTTTGATTTGATTTAATTTCATCCCCTCCGCCGTCCTCTGGCCCTCTTCCTCCTTTTTGATTACTGTGTTCACACAGTAACCGTGCAATGCATCCTCCTTACTCGTTCTCTCAAAGAGGGAGCTCTCTGACCGTCTGCCGGCTCCCGCGCTGGGCGGCTGTTTGGTCCTCAGAGAGAAAAATTAAAGCAATACCTTTCATTGTTCGCTTTCCTCTTTTTCTACTGGGGGAATCCAGAGCACACAGAATGGACTCGGAGCACGGAGCGCTACTACTGAGCAGGATAACCACTGGCAATGTATTCCCTTGTGATGTTACTGTGAACAACTTCAGTGCTAAAGGAAATAAATCTGTTGACTTTGGACCCGTGTGCACCTTTTCTTTGGTTTTAACACATTTATGCACAAAAATGGACCAACTGAGGAGGATCAGGACGAGTTTTAGGACTCGAGTCCGTTTTATAGGAACAAACTACTCTGTGACAACTTTGTCTTAATCCTAGGGCTGCACGATTAATCGATTTTAGATCGTAATTTGATTAAAATTAAAATCGTCAACTCGATTTTCCAGGGGGCTCTTCTCCTACAGAGCCATGCTGCTGTAATCCCTGATGAAACATGAAGGTCTTCCCTTCTTAATGTCTTAAAATCTTTTTAACGACTATTCTTACCGAATAACTTCTTGGGTTTTTAAATCCCTTTTTGAAGACGTTTCCAGAGTTAACGCCACGAGCTTCTAAATATTGTCTTTAAACATCCTGGTAAGCCGAGTTAAACTCCCTCCACAGAGAAATGATGTATTAAAAAGATACTTTATAAAACACAACAGTAAAATACGTTTATATAAAAGTGAACAGAGCTAACTCGATCCAAAGGTCACATCTGTAAGAAAACTACAACAACAATAATTTACTGAGACAGAAAAACATGAAAACATCCTCAAAGTGAACCCGGGTCAGACTCGGGTCTCTCTCCCAGGTTACAGAAAATTCATAAATAAATAAAAAACCTGAACACAGACATTTCTTCTTCTTCTTCTTCTCTTCTTCTTCTTCTTCTCTGACATGATCTTCATAAAAACACTTTCTTTGGTTAGAAACACAAACAGACCGCTGGAACTGTTTCTACTCTCGACACTCAGCATGCAGGCTGTACAGTCTGTGGATTAACGTTTCCTCTAAGGTCCTGAGGAGGCTCGGCTGGTCCTGGTCCTGGTCCTGGGGGTCCATGGAGGGGCAGAGCAGCAGGCGGTGAAAGTCCTCTCGGTCCAGGAGCTGATCCATGTTCTTCAGGAAGAATCCTTCACAGAACCTGCAGAGTTCAGCTGCTCTGTGGAGCTGCAGAGACAAACTCAGGGTCAGGTTCTGGTTCAGGTTCTGGTTCAGGTTCAGGCGCTCTCTAAAGGTCTCAGTTTTTCAGGTGTTTGTTTTTGTACCTTTGCAGTCCGGTAAACATCCACGACCTGATCCAAAGTCAAAGTCTGGGACAGCTTCATCTCACAGCTCCTCTGCAGACCTCTGAGCTGGAAGAACGAGGACACCGGCAGGAGCTACAGCAAGAAAAACGACAAACACTCAGGTGAGACCGTCACCTCTGAAGGACACAGGTGAGCAGGTGAACAGGTGAACGGGTGAACAGGTGAACAGGTGAGTGATCTTTACCTTCATGGCCTCAGAGTGAGTCAGCGTCAGCCCGTCTGTTCCTCCACAGTACAGAGACTTCATCATCGTCTGCAGAGGAGATTAAAACTCTTAATGACCGACCGATCAATCAATCAATCAATCAAACCTGGATCAGCTTTAGAGAAGGAGGTGTGTCTCTCACCTGGAACGTGCTGTAGGTCATGTGACTGATGTGGATGATGTCATTGGGGGAATCCGAGAGCATCTGTCTGAACCTGGAGAAACATCAGGAGGCTTTTATTTTGAAGGGTAACTCCTGAATCAGCAGACGTCTCTCTGACTCTGAATACAAATAAGAAGGCTTTTATTCTGAACTCTAAAGAGTATTTCACATGTTTTTAAAAACATAATAGCTACAAATTTTAAAGTTTCAGACTGAATAAATAACTGATTCGTTCGTTTGTTGGTTCACGGAAACACACTTTATTTTTTATTCTAATTTCTCTCTTTTGGAGTTTTATTATAGGGTCTGTACACAGTCTCTACACACTATGACATATATGGTTTGATAAGTGAACAGCCTAATATGTACAAACATTTCTTATTTAACATATTCCGTGTTTTGTAAAGAATAGCAATAGATTTTGAGAGTTAACGTTTGATATATTCTAACAGAGTTTATGATCAATAATTACTCGAGAATTTTGTTTCATTTACTCTTTTAATTTCTGCTCCTTTTCAAATGTTTTTATAATTTTATTTTGCAGTTTACCCAGACACCAACAAATAACATGAATTTCATTTGACTTTAATTCAGAGATAACTTATAATCAATCCATGTTTTTATCTTGATCAAATTCATTTTCTACTATTTTTCATCCTTACTAAAAGTGACTCATGGAGACAATCATGTTTGTTTTTTTCTTGTTTCTTTTACTCTTGAGAGAAAAAAATCCTTCACTCGCTTATTTAAGTTCCTTTTATTGTCTCCTTTGTTCTGTTCTCAGTGTTTTATCTCTCCTCTTTGTGAGTATCTAACTTTTAACTTGTATTTTAAAATGTTTAATTATCTACGACGTGTTCGAAATCATGATTCTCAGTCGGTGAACAGATATGAGACCTTTCAGACGCTGACATCAGCAGCACCCGGTGAGCGAAGAACGGGCGTCCCTCCACCGTGAACGTCACATCTGACATCTCCCGGTTGTTCAAGAAGTGAATATCTGAGAACAGAGACGAACGTTTGACCTTTTAAAATCTACAAACTAACAGGAAGTGGGAGTGGAAGTTAAAAAACACGTCAGGAGGAGAGTGTTACCCAGCTGTGTGGACAGAGTGACGTCCAGCGGAGAGATCGGAGGAACAGGAGAGCGGCTGAAGCAGTGAGAGATCACGGACGCCAGACGCTTCGTCACCACGTAATCCTGCGAAGAGAGGAACTCAGTTTGATTCAGAGTCACAGATTCTAGTTCACATAAAACCACCTTTTCACTCCTTTTAGAGAGGAGGACGAAAACGATGAAAACAGCCAATCAAACTTTGATTTCCTCGTGTAAAGAGCGTGTAGGTTTTCACACGGATGACGCAGACAGGTGAGCAGCTACCTTACTGGTTTCCATCATGCTGAACAGGAGTGGGACACCTGTGGAGAGGAGGTCGGGGGTGTAGTCCTCCGCCCCGATGGAGGAGAACTCTGAGAGGAGGGAGACGATGACTTTGTCTCTGCTCAGCTGCCGAGCTCTGCTCAGACTCTGCAGCCAAGTGTGGAGCCTCCAGGGAACACCTGGACACACAGGAAGGTTAGTCTGACACAGAGCAGAATCTAAGAGCGTCAAGATTCATCATCAGTTTTTAGTTTTTAGTTTCATCTCATGAGTCTCACATCCGTCCACAAAAATCTGTCATTTCTAAAAGACGTTTTTAAAGTTCTACAAATTCATCGAATGTCAGAAACGCCGTCAGTCCGTCCGTCACCGTGAGCTCACCCATCTCTCTGAGCTCCAGAGTCACATCCAGGTAGCCGTGCTCGGCGCTGTAGTACGCGGCCTGCTGCAGAGCTTTCATCCGGGCCTTACAGAGCTGAGGAACAGGACTTTGGGAGTCAGAGGCTCCGTGCTCCTCCTCCTCCTCCCTCTCCTTCTCCTCCTGCTCTTCGACTCCTTCGGCCAGGATCTCCTCTAAAGAGAGGATGTCCTCCTTCCTGTGCTGCGGCTGCATCAGAAGTCTCCTCAGGATGTTCCTGGAGAATGAAGGAGTGAAGGAAAATGACTGAATGATGGGGTCAGGAGCAGAGGCCTTTGGCTGGTTTGAACTCTCAGGTGTTTATGTTGGTTTGTGCGCCCCCCTGTGGACAAAGCCGTGACTTTTCTCTTTGCTGGTTTTGTTCTGGACACATTAAAGTCCAGTTTTTTTAAAGAAATCCTCTTGATGCATCGATTTACAAATGTTTGATACACAGAAATGGGCTGATAGACGCACTTTGAATTTCACTCCATTTTTTAACAGGTTAAAAAACTTCTAACTCGATTTTTTTAAACTTAAACCTCCTGAGGAACTCTGAAAGTCCACGCCAAGAAACTCTGATGAATCTCTTGTGTGAAGGAAACCTTAAGAGTGTGGTCAGAGTCGAAGAGCTTGAATAAAAACTGGTCATCTTGTTTGAACCTGCAGGATCCACGTCTCACCTGTGTCCGTGCGCCGCAGCATAACTGAAGCAGTTCATGTCCTCATATAGCGGTGATGTTAGTGAACTCCCATGATGCACTCTGAGCAGGGGGTCTGCACCGTGAGCCAGCAGCAAGCTCACCATCTCATAGTGACCTGTGAGAGTGAAACATGTCAGCGCCGGACTCTTCAACCTCAGACCGAAGAGTTAAGTGACGTTTTCTCAGCGTACCTGCAGCGGCGGCGAGCTGCAGCGGCGTCTCAGCTGAGCTTCCGTCCCCGTCCAGCAGAGCTCCTCCCTCCACGTCTGCGCCGGCCTCCAACAGCAGCTGAGAGTTCAAGGAGAAAGACAGGGACGGTTATTATAGGAAAGAACATGATCAAGAAGTTTGATCAGAAATATGAACAAAAGTTCTGCAGGATCCAGATCTCAGTTCTTCAGACACCTGCATCCTTCAACCTCACCTGAGCTACAGACAGGTGACTGTGCAGGACGGCGAAGGTCAGGGCCGCCCAGCGACGACTGCCGGGGTGAACTGATGGGTGCCTGACAGAGCAGCCTGGGACCTAAAAACACACAGGAACACTAAGGGTCTAGGTTCTTCTCAGGGTCTCAGACGGGTATTTAAATAAACAGATTAAAGGTTTAAAATGTTTTAAAAGAGTTTCTGAGATCGTGTTTGTGATTTCTGAATCTGTAAAAGACAAAGAAACACAGAGAAACAGGATTTAGATCTAGAAGGTTTTGGTACCTGCAGGTCCAGGTGAGCACCGGCCTCTATGAGCATCTGAACCAGAGCTTCGTCTCCTGCTGCAGAGGCGTACATCAGAGGAGTCATCCCCTAAAACGACATGTTTGCATGTCAGGGAATGTTAAAGAGATTTGTGAAGGAGTGTCAGTGATCAACAATCAATATTATTGGCAGAAATAGAGGGCCCCAAAACTTTACTTAGGGCCCCATTGAGACTTGGTTGTCAGGTATGAACAGGACATCACTCACACACACACACTGACCTGGTTGTCCATGGTGTTCACCCCCTTCTCTCCCAGAAGCCGAACAGCCTGATGGACCAGATCTGCTCGACCCCAGGACAGTATCCTGAAGCCCAGATCCAGCTGGAACTTTTCCGCAGCAGCTTCGGCGTCCAAAGATTTCAGCGACTGGAAACAAACGGCAGACCTGCAGAGACCAAAAACCTGTAACATCGTCGTCACTGAGAACATGATTCACCTCAAACATCACCACAGAGACTCACTTCAGCTGTCTGGGCTCACAGTCCAGTCCTGGGAGGAGCAGCCTGGCCGTCTGTCTGACATCATCGCTGTCCACCAATAGGCTGCGGCGATGTTCAGCGTGAACCACGGCGACTCTGATCCACTCCATGAGAGGAGGGAGGAGCAGGAACGGCCTGGAGGAGTCAGATCTGTTTACCTCTAATCACATATTTGGCTGTAATCCTGCTGGTCCGGTTTAAGGTTCATGATAGATTCACAGTCAGGTAAAAATCCCGCAGACACACGTACCTCTCTCTGCTCAGCATCATCGACGGTGGCTCCAGGTTTGGGTTCTCCAGAGACTCCATCTGCGGGCTGGACAGGAAGTAGTAAAGCGTCCGGAGGGCATCAGGAGCCCAGGATACTGAGGGCTGATTGGCTGAGCGAGACGGGCTGATGAAGGTGCTGGAGCTGCGCAGACGCTGCATGTGGTGCATCGCCCGGGACACCAGATCACCTGGATCAGAGTCACATGATGCACATACTGGTTACTAAGATTTCCCAGGGTTAGCTGTGGGGACAGACTTTTAAAAGAGGCGTTTGTTGACAAAAATGTACACATTTTCTCGCAGGATAAAGAACAAAAACAACAAAAAGTGAGACGTGAAAAACCCTGAAGGACAATCTGACGTGACTCATACAGGTTTTGGTTTTGTGGTCTCATGAATACGACTGCAGGAGCTCCATAAACAGCCCTGAACAGTGGGAGCACAGAGCTCCTTTGTTTCCCTTTATAATGAGCTACGGTGGCCTGCAGGAGGTGAAGGTGTCCTTGTTTTCTGGACACAAGCCTCAGGTTGTTATGTAAGTGAGGGGGGAGCTGACGGGGTCTAACGAGGAGCCCCAAGAGCCCGACGCTGGTCAGACTTTGAAAAACAAAACACAGGAGCCGACTGTGACTCACACACAGACACACACACACACACACACACACACACACACACATACACACACATACACACACACACACACACACACACACACACACAGACACTCACTGAGCTCTGCGATGCTGCCCACACAGGTGGCGAGGAGAGCCTGCTCCAGTGTCCTCAGCTCCAGCTGGATGTAGGCGTCCATCCTGGTCTCCATCGAGTCCTCAGGAACCTTCGTGTACGGGCTCACCTGAGCGGGTAGTGACAGCTCACCTACAGACGCACACACAGAGTCATGAATACCTTTATCAGTATTAAAGTTTTACAGGTAGAATTCCTCTCTTTTTTAATGTCAAATGGAGATCAGATCTGTCTCTTCTGATGCCTTTAAGGGCGTCAGGAAATCTAAATGATTACGTCCATTAATAAAGCTTCGAGCAGAACTGCAGAGCTTTAATGTTTGTAGATTGTTGGCTAAACTCTTATGAGGCAGTGGCGTCCTGGTGGATTGTTTTCCGACTGCTTTTGCTCTCTGTAAGGACCGTTTTTCCTGTAAATGTAAAAAATAAGGAGGTTCTGCTAACGGATATGAAGGCTGGAGCTGACCTTTAACCCTTACCCTTTCAATTAAAAGCCGCTGACTGACCTGATGAGCATGTTTACATGTTTATAGGCTGCTGGAGGAAAAGGTAAGAATCAAAACTAGTGCCTTATGGGACAACAACGGGCATGAGCCTAGTCACGCCGCCACCTCTGTGGACCGCATCAGCCAGCAGACCAATGCCCTGTCATACTGCCTTTCATAAAAATATTGTGGTACAGTATTATAAAAATATCATAGTATCATATGATAAAAATATCAAAGTACAGAATGATAAAAATGTCCCAGTATAGTTTATTATAAATAAAGTATAATGTGATAAAATGTCAGTATAGTTTGATAAAAAAAAATTATAGTATTGTATGATAAAAATATCATAGTATATTAACATTGTCAATATAGTTTTTTAATAATGTTATAGTACAGTATGATAAAAATGTCATAGTAAACTATGTTTAAAAATCTCATAGTATAGTATGATTAAATTTTCATAGAATAGGATGATAAAATGTAAACATAGTTTGTTAATAATGTCATAGTATAGTATCATAATAAATGTCATAGTGAAGTATGATCAAAAATGTCATAGTATAGTGTGTTAAAAAAAAGGCCTTTGTTAAGTTTGATAATGAATGCCATAGTATAGTATGTCAAAAAATTGTTGCTGTAAATTATCTAAAAAATAATGTCAGACCATTGTTTGTCAAATAAATGCCATAGTATAGTATGTAAAAATATGTCACAGTATAGTATGATAAAAATGTTTTGGAATAGTATTTTAAAAAATGTCACAGTATAGTATGATAAAAATATCGCTGCAGTTCCAGTTTTCTCATCATAAACCCCTCAGAGAATTTACCTTTAAAAGAAGCTTTAAAGTGGTGAAAATCTCAAAATGCTCACATTCAAACCAATATGGCCGATAAAGACTTCTGGTTGGTTGTGGCCTTTGGGTTCAAGAGGCTTTTTTGTTTGTCTCAAGGTTCTTCATAAGTGTCCCAGATTCTACAGCTGTAGGACCCTGAATGTCCAGGTGGTTGGACAGACGGGAGATGAGAATGGAATGATTAACTGTATCAAATACTTTTTATTATCAAGAAGACCAGAAACCTTCTCCTCACTGCATCACTGTCAACCTCTGCTGGTAGGTCAAAGGTCAGTCCATTCAAACTACACACAGACACTCAGGTCCTCGTTTATTGTGTCCTGCTGAACCTGGTTTTTGCTGACTCCTGATCTTCCACACAAAAGACTCAGAGAGGACTAATCCTCCTGACGTAGACTCTGACCTAGAGCGGTGAGTCAACCTGAACCACGGGTCATAGTTATGAGTAAGAAATCACCATCATTATCAGCATCATCACTATCATTATCAGCTTTATTAGGGAGCAGCTGGTCCACGAGTCTGGACTCACAGCAGACAGACAGAAACCATCAGCTGGTTCTTACTGCACAGGTCGACCTCTGCAGGTCCAGAAACTTCAGATTTTCATGTTTTCTAATGGAGACCTCGACCCGCCTGCTCAGATCCTTAACCTCAGCCCTCTCCAACACCTCTGGGGCAAGGCGGGGTCAAAGTGCGTCCACGTAGAGCCTGATTGGACAGATTCATCACACAGACGTGGAGTACACACCTCAGCTTTAGTGTGAAAGAAAGGAGCGAGTGTGTCTGATAATTTGGTGCTGATTACCCCGCTGTGTTTACAGACAGGAGCGAGCGAACAAGCGTCTATTCACGAGCGCACAACAGGAGTCCAGTCTGCGGAGGACAAAGCACAAACCTCTGTTTTCTAAAGCCCCCGACACACACTCACACACACACACACACACACACACACACACACACACACACACACACACACAGACACACAGACACACACACACGCACACACACCTCAGCTCCTGTCCCAAACACTGCACTACACACATCCAGAATCAGGAGTGATTAAGTCGTTTCCTTCGACTCTGTCCTGGTGTGTTTGTGCGGCTGAAGAAAACAGAACAAGTGTGTGTGTGTGTGTGTGTGTGTGTGTGTGTGTGTGTGTGTGTGTGTGTGTGTGTGTAGTCTGTTTTAGTGTTGCCTGAGAACAACAGCTCTTTTCTGCAGAGCTGTATAAGGCTGCAAGTGTTCGGTGTGGACAACAGACCCACAGAGAGTAAAGGTGTGTGAGTGTGTTTTAGGTCAGGACCACCTCAGCAGAGTCTGAAGAGCAAACAGAGTCCCACTCAGGAACAAATCCCACATCTTGTACATAAACTGAGTTTATTTACGGAGCATTAAAGCTCACATGTCACTCGTGGAAAAAGGTTATTGTGTTTGACAGACGGACTACATCCACCAAGATCCACCAACGCCAACACATCCATGTTTCCTAAGATGGTTCCCGGTCAGAGCAGCAGATAAAGCAGCGAGCTGACTCACATATCGTTTTTGCTTTTGGTTTACACGCTGGTCTTCTTTACTTGAACTGCATCAAAGTTCGTTTCGAGGGAAACTGTTTGGATGATTTTCTTTAGTCAGTCATGTCATCGTTGAGGGCGATGGAGCTCAAATACCTTGGATACTTTCTGGGGCCATGGGCATCCACCAACCATCCTCAACAAGGACCTTGTACACATGTTTACCATCACTCAGGCTCCCAAAATATGTTGTGCTTCGTTATTACCCTACATGGACTCTCTTTCAGGTCAACAAGATGCAAACAGAATGTTTGGAAACATGGAAGGCTACATATACCTGAACAGTCTCAGACCAGTTTTTGTTACACTTGTTGCCTGATGAAGTTATAACCCAGATCTGCAACCAGTAAAACTTGTCAAAATGATCATTCGTGTTGAGCTTCTATTCTTTAAAGTGTGAACATGGACCAGGCATCCTTACAGAAACCAGGACCTGTTTTCAAGAGGATGAGAGTTCACATATTTAGTGTTCAACAGAATACAACAAGGAATCAGACCCGGGTTCATTCAAAGTGGACCGAACCGCTCCTTTAAGAGTTTTTAAAATGTTTTCACTCACTGTATATAGTATGGTATGTAAAAAAACGTCTCAGTACACTTTGTCAAAAAAAATGTCATAGTATAGTATGATAAAAATTGCCAGAGTGTAAGATGTAAAAAAAAATGTCCTTGTTTGGTTTGTTGAAAAATGCCATAGCATAGTTTATCAAATAAATGCTACAGTATAGTATGTGAAAAAACATCATAGTATAGTATGCTCAAAAACGTCATAGTATAGTATGATAAAAAAATTTCACAGTATAATTTGTTTAAAAAAAAGTCTCTTTATAGTGTGATAAAAATGTCACAGTATAGTATGCTAAAAAATGTCATAGTATCCTATGTCAAAAAAAAATTATAGAATAGAATGTAAAATATTTCATAGGAGAATATGATGAAAAATGTCATTGTAAGGTATGTAAAAAAATGTCTCGTATAGTATGTTAAAAGAATGTCATGTAACAGTATGATAAAAAAAATGTCCTGGTATAAAATGATGAAAAAATGTCTTCATTAAGTATGATAAAATGTCACAACATAGTGTGTTAAAAAATGTCATAGTATAGTATGATAAAAAAAAAATCATCTTAGCGAAGAATGATAAAAAATGTCATAGTATAGTATAAAAAAAAACCTCATATGATAGAATGATCAAATAATTCATAGTAAAGTATGATAATAAATGTCATGGTATAGTATGTTAAAAATGTCTTAGTAAAGTATGATAAAAAATGTCATCATAGTATAGTATGATCATAGTTTCATTGTATGATCAAAAGTTTCACAGTATCGTATACACTCACTGTTTTTTCTCCCTGACTCCTTTCAGTCTCATATTTATTCACTGATTTGATCTTCTGGACGTTTGTTTTAACCCTCTCTTTCCCAGCTCACAGGGTTCTGATAAAAAAGCGTCAGAATTGGCGGGAAGACGTTGTTTTGGTTGAATAATCTGGTTAAAGACCTGCGGCTGTGTGTAGAGCCAGGGTAGATAGACACTGTTGACACAAGGTTTCACACACGTGACGTGAACACAGAGCCAGGAGTCAGCAGTGACGGGGACTCTGCTCACCATGGAGACCAGCCTGATTATGTCTCGTTACCTCATCCAAACAGGACCCCTGAAAGAGTCCTGGATCCTCGTAGTCCCAGAGACATGTGGTGTTTAATTAACGAGACAAACGAGATCTTTAGTGTCTTATTAATCAGGTTGTAGTAACTGTTCCATCCTCAGAGAGAGAAGCAGACTCTGCAGTCATGTCTGGGAAAACCTTCTAGTTTTGCATACCGACTGGAAAGATGAAGATCTCCTGATATGACGTCTGGTCACACACGGAGAGTCAGATTACTCCCTGATGTCTGCTCCGTCTCTGTAATCTGATTCACTATCAGACACTTTCTACAGCTGCTTCTCTCCACTTCCTCTCAATCCTGAGCCGCCAGAGTCATCAAAGTGAACGCCGCCGCAGACGCCATGTTTTTAAAATGTTAAAGCCAGTTTAAGGGACACCCTCGTTTCACTGCAGGGGTTTACTGTCACTATCAGGATCAGGTTTGAGCGAGGGAACAGAGTGTGTTCTCCTCTCCTCTCCTGTCTGGACAGCAGCTACTGCGCCTGTTTGTTTTGGGGGGCAGACTGAGACCGAGGGGAGTCGTGAACCTTGTACCCTGCAGCCTGAGCGGGAAAGAGAGCTCCTTTGTGTGGGTCAGAAGCTAACAACACTCACTCATTTACTGCCCCTGCGTCTTCCTGCCGGCTCTCAGGGGAGGTTTGGAGCCTGAGTCCCGGCACGCACTGAGCAGGAGGCACAGAAACACCGGGAGGAGGGGATCTGGAGTGATGCAGCTTCTGGCTTTTTGCTGTCTATGGAGGAATTTCTCATTTTGAAAATACTCACTATTATCTCTCATGCAGACACAAACAATAAAAGCTCCATTAAAATGTCCCCGAGCTGTAATTCTACCATCCTGACTCCACAGAAGTTCAAAGTCTGACAGTTTGCACAGAGTCCAAATCTGAGTCTGCAGGAACGTGAAGCTGTGTGCTCATGTTTACGTTTCTAAACTAGTCAGAGTTGGATGTGTGATTGTGAATTAAAGCTTCAGAGACTTTTATCAGAGATGATCTTCCACTTCCAACTCAGTTGTTACCCAAAATGCCTTTTTCCTGTCTGAAGGGTTTCCCATCACCCTCCTGACTTCTTAGTTTTTATCGGTTTTTACGATCTGAACTTCAGTCTTTGTAATTTCGTGCCACCATGAGCTCCTCTGTTCTGTGATACCACCCAGATTTAACCGCTAAAAGAATAAAAGAGGGCGTCTTCATCCATCATGAGGTCAGCTCTGTCTAAAGACGGTTAGAAAAAGTTTAAGCCTCATGACTCTCTGACTTCTCTGGGCCTTAAAGTTGTAACATGATGACAGGTTACACCTTTTCTTTGCAGAGTTCAAATGTATATTTCACTGCTCGTCAAAGCTGGGAGTCACTTCTTGAGAAAATAGTTTCAAACATTAAAAAGAAACTTTAGAGGACGGTCAAACTTCATCTATAAAATCTGTTTCCATCAGTTATTATCCAGCAGAGACGAAGACGGGAACAAAAGCCTCTCCTGATCCTGTCTGACCTCCAGAGATTCACTCACATGTGAAAATTAACATGTTAAAAAAACACACGTGTTTTCAGGGCGATGAACCGTGATTGTTTTCACGGGTGAGCATGTGACATTTCACACAAGGTCATTTCTCCCGCTTAAATTCATCCTGTAACAGAAGTTTGAAAACTGAGATTATAACTTTTCATTTGAACTTTGGATTCACAAACTCTTTAAAAAGGTTCCTCCAGGTGTTTTCTCATGACTACAGAGATCTGACGTCCCTGTACAGAGTTTTTTAATTAGTCGCTGATATCAAAATAAAAAATAGGGGAGAGTGGGGTAAGTTGAGCCACCCCCTGTTGCTTGGAAATGGTAAAATAAATTGATCATGTGACCAAATATTTAGGAGATGGGCATCAATTCATGGAGTCTGTGAAGGTTAGAAACACATGAGTGAAGAGGTTAGACATTTAATTACAAAAAAAACGCATTTTTCACTCTGTAAAGTGAATTTAGTCAGTCACCAGTTTGATTAGAATTGTGTTCAGACCAAAAAAGATCATTTTAAATTTGTTTTATACATCAATTGTGGTATCTATCAGCTACAACATGAGGTCAAAAACCTTACATAAAAGTCCACCATTTTATCTTAGAGGACTGATAAAGTCATCATAGTAGTTCAGGGGGAACTGAGAAAGTAAAGGAGTCTGATGAGAGGGTCAGAGTTTATGTCAGATTGTTGAAATGTTTGACTTTTTCTTTTCAAAATACAGATCTGTGAATGTTCTGAATCACTTAAAGACATTCTTATGTTAAAATGAACAAAACAGCTTTTTAGCAGTTATATGCAATAATAATAATAATAATAAAAAGAATGATTGTATTAGTTGAATAGTGTATAATAGATATAAATACTCATGCATGTGAAGAAGTGACTGTTATTTAGGGAGAGAGAAGGTGAGGGGCATAGTAGGGATACGGCTCAACTTACCCCACTCCTATGGTCAACGTACCCTATACATGGGGTAAGTTGACCATAGGAGACCACTTTTTTGTCCTGCTATATTATCAAGACAGTTCTGTTTACACTCATTCTGTTGGTTTGCAGGGATGAACAACATCCTGAAATATCTGCAGATACACGAGTTAGAGACAAAACTAGGATTGACTTGTAGTGATCTGAAATTTGAAACATGGCTCATCTTACCCCGCTCTCCCCTATTATAAATCTGTTTTTTTTCCAGTTTAAAAAGTTGGCATGTGTTCTTTGCACCATCTTAAATGAACTTTCAAAGTGCAAATGATTCACAAACCTTCATATTCATATAAATATTGTACACTACCTCTCCACAGACTGTGGGGTTGTATCTTCAAATTGATCTGAGAGATTAACGTGAAAAACAAAATAAAGACAAAGATGTTCAGTCTTTAAATGTGATTCTGATTGTGTTAAACATCTTTTCGTATCTGATTAAAGTTTGATCTTTGTAAAACTTTCCTACAGACTGTCAGTGGGTACTTGAACTCACCATTGGCGTTTTTCCCACAGATCAGATGCTCGTACACCTGCAGGACTCCCCACAGCTCGGGGTCGTTGTTCACGGCTCCCTCCAGCAGCTCCGCGCTCACCGGGCCTCCCTGCTCCTCTTCCTCCAGCCTCGCTGCCTGCAGCGTCCGTCCGGCCACCTCCTCCAGCAGACTCTCCACGCACGCTGTCAGACACACGGCGGCGTAGTCATGCACGCGGACCGACACACGCGCCTCCACCATCCACCTGAAGAAGCGGCCCACGGAGAGTGTCAGCCCGCAGCGCGTGGACTTGCTCCTCTGTCGCGCGGTGTCACCTGAGCTCATGCAGTGCAGGGACACGGCCCTCACCGCGGAGGAGATGCACCTCTCGGACAGACCCCAGCTGAGCACGAGCCTCACCGCACTCTGCACCTCCAGGCGCGTGCACCGCCTGTGGAGCTCACTCAGGCGCTGAGCCTCACGGGTGATGCGCACCAAAGCTCTCCGGAGCAGAGTGGACAGCCGGCGGACCGCCCCTCCGGTGAACGACGTGGGAGAGCCGGCGACTCGAGCCACGATGTCCCACAGCTCGTGCTCGGTCCAGGGACAGTCCTCCAGCTCAGGCAGGCAGGGACACTTCGCCAGGATGTCCGCTGCGTCCTCCGGCAGCGAGCTGACCGTGTCCCAGCTGCCGTTTCTGCTGGACATGGAGCCGGGCTGCTGCCACCAGGTACCCCGATGAGGAGTGCTCGTGTGCGGCTGAGACTGCCCTGACCTGCCGGAGGAGGACAGACTGAGGGACAGGCAGTGGTCCCCAGCAACATAGCCAGAGTCCAGGCTCAGGTCCCCCAGAGTTTTTACCAACAGACTGCCGGACATGATAGAGAAGGACTTTTTACGCACAGATCTCTTTACGCACAGTGGAGAGCACACCCAGAGTTTCCCATTCAATCCAACTTCCTGTCAAAGTTTAGAGACTTTAAGAAACTCAGAGTGCCACGAGCTGAAAACAGCACGAGACTGACCTACTGAGCCACAACTCACCAAACTTTAAAGGTGATTGAAAACGTGTTTTACGCACACGGACCAATCAGAGCCCGAGTCCAGTGATAACACAACTGAGTTTACAACTACCTCACTGCGCCCCCTTGTGGAAAAATATGAGTAATGCTGAGCTGGGTATAGGTGAGAGTATAGTTTTTATTCGACTAACCACAAGGGGGCGTTATTGAAGCTACTTTTATTTTGTTAAAAAAAAAACAGTTTTAGCGTTAATGACTGACCTGTTCCAAAGTGTGATCTCTGAACACGAGTCCTCCTCACAAGATTATGAAATTTCTGGTTCATGTAAAAAGTTAAAAATTTTGAGACTATTTTTTTAGCCCCTAGACAGGAAACCACGTGTGAGTTTTAAACCTATTTTAACAGAAATAACATTAATCATTCATCACCTTTTTCATGTTTTTATTTAGTTTTTTTTTAACTCCTACATTGATCCTGTAATTCTACATAGACATAAGATACATAGAGCCTGTAATAATAATAATAATAATAATAATAAATTTAATTTGTAATGCACTTTGGTTTTGAGCCGAGTGTCGTCACAGCGACTCTTGGTGACTCTACCGCTAAATGCGTACAACGCTCCTGCTCCAGTACGTAATGAGGTGTTTACGTACATCATGTCTGTGGTAAATCTACCTGTTATCTCTAAAATCAAGCTAACACCAAACTAGATAAAGTAGCTGAGCAGGAAAACTAATAAGACATTTTTCTGAAAGTTTAGACTACCTTCACCCCAAAATGTTCATCTTACCTCCTTCAATTATTCATCTTTTTTCGGATAAAACCCAGAATGTTTCCCAAATGTTCCCACATATTTATTTTTGCAGGCCCTCCAAAGTGGCAGAAAAAAAACACACACAAACACGACATCCAGGAGGGTAACAGTTGTATTGTCTCAGCTCAAGGATTCAGAACTTCAAACACAAGGTGCTGCTGTAGGTTTCATTGTACAACAAAGTAAAGAAGTGAACACTTTGTTTGAACTCCACACTCTCACCTGAAGCGCCTCACAAGGTCACGAGCGACTTTAAACTTCTGACAAACTGTTGATGCTGATTCACAAACAAATAAAAGGAGTTCAGATACAGTCAGACGTCTTCATAGCCAGAACATATTCACATCATTCTTTGTCATCTGGTTTGTTGTCATCTGGATGAGTACGGCCACCTCCTCCATCAAACTCTAAACGTCTATAATGTCTACAGTTTTTATTTCCACCCCTGGACTAAATCTAGATCGAGACATGCTTAACCTAAACCAACCACTAGATGTCCACCTTTCTCTATTTCAGAAAACTGCTCTCCTGTCCTCAGACAGGTTAACTGGCTCTGACTCTTCTAACCTACTGCTTCTGTAATACTGTACATCTTTAAGCACGAACTGAACACGTCTAAATCTACTCATGAAACTAAAAACAAAGGTCATTGTTACCATTTAAGGAGCTCAGAGGAACTGCAGCGAGTATTCCAGTTGAAAAGTCGAGCGAAAGAGAGGATAATAAACGACCTGAAGGATAAAATAATAAATTACTGAGCTAGAAAAGCACAACGTTTGAAACGAGCTCAATAGGTTTTCAGAGTGTACAATCATAACAGTGAGCCAGCTCACCAAGTCAGATGATGTGTGTTCAGTCCAACAACACCTGACACTTCCTTTCAGTCCGACGTGTTGTTGTGATAAATGACCCCACTCTCTGTTCCTGTTTCACATCCACAGAGTCCACAGAAGAACCGGAGCCCGTCGAAATAAGGCATCGAGACACGGGTACAAAAAATAAAACTGCAACTCTGCTAGCAAACACTTTACAAAGGCTAACTGAGCGGCGTTTGTTCTCTAACAAAACATTACAAAACTACAAAAGTGTTTTTTCTTCTATTGTAAAGGGTGACGCCTCAGAGACCTCTGTACGATCTCTGATCCGTAATAAAACTCCATCAAAGTGACTCTGGGGGTAAAACAGACATTTATCCAAACTGTAAACAGAGTCAGTGTGGTGCTGAACGCTCCTGTGTCTCCTTTTCAAAATGTTTGTTCAATTTCTCAGATTAGAAAGAGGAAATAGATATGTGATGATGGGAGGTGCAAAAGGAGAGGAAATTATGATCACATGAGTTTAATTTCTAAACCGAATTCATGTCAATCATCACCAAGAATTTGGACTGCATGTAAGTCGTGAATCCATGAAAAACTGACTCTCCAAAGGATACAGGACACACAAAATCTCAGTTTGTGCACCTTCATCAAACCAAGTTAACATTAATTCAGGATCTCAAGACAGAAAAATGATCCAAACTGGCCAAAAAGTAAAAACTAAAAGAAAACTTTCCTTTCTCCTCTGTAGAAGTCAAACTTTTGGGATTGAACTTGTGCAGGATACAAACAACACCTGACCAGAGACGTCTAAGAATAGATCTGATTGGATCATCATACAAATGGTTTGTTGGTAAATATCGGCGTTTTTGTTACTCAGTCTAGTCCACACTGATATTACTCTCTTTTCTGTTTTTTGGCACAAACAGTGAGTCGCTCTGCAGAGATATCGTGTCCCCGTCTGTAAAAACATTCTCCAAACCTTCTGAGATCTTTAAAATGATCACGTTTCTGAAGCGACCGACAGATAAATAAAACTTCTGAACATCTTAACCCGAACATTTAACTCTGACGGTCCAAACGTGACCTCCACAGGACGCGTGCAGAGCGAACCCACGACACAGCTGATGACTCGGATGAGGAGCAGCCTCGATCATCAGCTCTGTTCATGAAACGTCTGTGGGCTGTGTTTCCTCTGAGGCTTCACTGGAGTCCTGGTTCAGGCTCCTGTTGGTGGTCAGGGCCGAGGCCTGCTCCAGCAGCTGGACCAGATACCTGTCCTCAGCCCTCTCTTCTGCAGACAGACTCTCAGACTGAACCAGGCTGAACGCCGAGGACCCCACCTGGGTCACAGGAGCGGAGACGGTCCGAGGGATGTTCGCCGCCGAGTACATCAGAGACGAGTCGTCTGTGGAGTTCGGGGAGTCTGCTCTCTGGGGTTTCATCGCCTCACTCCTCTGGACCGGAGGTGACGGATCCTCCACTGTGACATCTTCATGACTCTCTGGGGGCTGATAAGGCGGGGGTCCAGTCAGCGGGGAGCTGTCAGGGGTCAGTGGGGCCTGGCTGTGGATGATGATGGGGTCTGGGGAAGGCAGTGGGGCCTCCTCCTCCTCCCCAGCAGCTTCTAGTTCCCTCGGGTCCTTGGACGGGCTCTGGTCTGGGGAGATGGTGTCAGTATGATGGGAGATGATGTGGAGGCTCAGTCCGGCTCTGGGGAACCCGCTGGCTGAGGACGGCTTCCCTCTGGAGGGACTCAGCAGCACCGGCAGCTCCTGGCCCAGAGGCTTACGAGGCAGCTCCTCAGGCTTCCCTGAGGACACAGAAGACGGAGAAATAACCTTAGAAGAACCAAAACTGCTGGTTCTTGGTAGATTTCACAGGAATTATCTGAATGAACAGCTCAGACACCAAAATATTTCAATTTAAGGCCCCGGGTAAAAACGCCTGAAGCCCACTTTAGATCACAAACAGAAAAACAGGTGGATCAGGGTCGTGTGCTGCTGCAGACCTGGAGGAGGAAGGTCCAGTTTCATCTTCCTCAGTTCGGTCATGGCGGCCTGAAGCTGCTCGATGATCACGTCGTCGCTGTAGTAGAAAGTCTGAGCGATCCGCTCCTGGAGAAACTCTCTGAGCTCCTCCAGAGACATCTTCAAGAGCCGCTCTGCACACAGACGAGAGAAACAGACGCATCAACAATCTTTAAAGTGAGCTGACGGAGCAGGAATGATCATGAAATAACGGAGCGGCACTCGGATAACTGGCTGCTAAATTAACTCTGGAGCTTTTTTTCTGTGTTTGCAGATTGGCAGAGCGAGGAAAGACAAACAGAGAGTGTCTGCGGTCCAAAATGAAGTGCCGTCCAAGAGCGTCAGTAGATAATGATTAATCCTAAAGAGGGACTCTGCTGTTTTTCTTTCTAATCATTTGTAGTTTTTCTCAATTGAGTGTAAAAAAACTTTACAAGCTGCTGCAGTAGATTGTTTTAAAGCAAGATCAGCAAATGCATCTGATGAGAGTCCGTACACTGAGTCTGTAACTTTGACAACAGCAAGTCCTCCCGCTCTTTGTCGAGGGGGACGATGATTTCTTCAAACTAGAAACATCCGTTATTTCGCCCTCCTGAAAGCCTCCAAACCTCATTGACAAAAACACTGTTTTTTACCTCAGAGAAAACAGGATTTGTTGGTCTAAAACCATCTTCCCAGAGAGTTTTCTTTGTGTTACAGTGTGTTTGGGATCCAAACCGACAATCTAAAACCCCAAACTTTCACAATAATGCAAACAAACTGACTGAGGAGGGCAGAGGGCAGATCTGCACGTTTCATGCTGCGCAGGCTAAAATCGGTGTTTTTGTGAATGGAGTCTGGTGGCTTTTCAAAGTGTGATGTAATGCTTGGTAAAGACGGGATTTTGCCTTTTAAGCAAAAAGAGGAGAGAAGGAAAAACGAGCCGACTGTGTGGATATGTTTCAGATATTAGAGGGTTTGGATGGAGAACATTCCAGAACTTCTGTCTGATGTGTCGATCTGTATGTTGTGTTCTTACTCTTGTGTATCTTCAGGATGGTGTAGGACATGGCGGTGAGGAGCCGCTCTCCCTCCAGGATGAAAATGTCCCACAGGCGAAGAGTCAGCGTGAACGGCGTCTGCAGGAACACAACAGGTCATCACATCACCCAGATTTCATCGAAACTTGTTTACGCCAGCGGTTTCCCCATATCTGCCGCTCCGGAGGTTTGTTTGGTTCTGTCCCAGACCTCAGAGGCCTGCAGGCCCCTCCGAGCAAAAGCGACTCAGCAGGACGGAGAAGCGCTGACAGCGGCTAAATCCTGCCAGACCACCACCACAGGATTGTGGGCCATGCATGGAGGAGACTAATAGCAGTTTAGTTTAAAAGCTCTTAATGCTCTCCTCTAATGCGACGCTCCAGGATCACATATCAGCCGAGTTTTTCTGCTGAACTTTTCTGACCAATGTTTTATTCATGCACAGTAAAAACTTGTCGGCTGCAGATCCTGGAGAGTCGGACTCATTAGGAGATTTCGTCTCTCTGAGCAGATCTCTTCTTTCCAGTGAGTCCGATCTGCATTTCTATTGTGATTTCTGAGCTTAAAGGAAGTTTTCATAGTTTCCTCCTGGACTTGTTTTTCAGTAGGAGGCAGAAATAAAACCGACATTCACACGCATTATAATAGGGCTGGGCGATCAACTGAAAATTTACAGATACCAAAATTTACGACAATAACCGACGTCATTTTGCCCGCATCGGTATATTCGGTGTCAAAAATCAATCAACAAAAGTTGGTTTTGGATGTGTGTAGGTAGGCTGTGGTCTCATGTCCGAGACGTGACTCCACCCCATCCAGTCTGTAACAAAGAGGGAAAGACAGGTGAGGAGATGGAGGACGGAGAGAAAGTTGTAGCGGCTGAAGTAGAAGAAGTTAATGTGGGAGGGGGTGAGCAGCTTGTGGAGTAGTTATCGTCCATTTATCGTTATCGAGGTGAACTGATCAATATATCGTGATATTGATTTAAGGCCATATCGCCCAGCCCTACACTATAGTACACAATCCTAATTCCAGAAGCGCTGAGACGCTTAAATGCTGCTAGACAGAAGTGAAACTAACCACCGTAACGCCCCACAAAGATAGGAACAAGGTAAGATGGCTCACTTAGGAGCTACTTAAAGGGATATTCCGTGTAAAATAAGTCAGAGTCAAACACACCGTAACACCACCCCCGTCGGAGGTAAATGTTACCGACCGCTTGCTTCAACAAGCGGCTGCTGGAAGAGAGTAGGTGAGTTGTGTTTTAGTCTCTTTGTTAAAGAAATGAGTCAAAGTTAAAAAGATGTTTGGTGTCTAGTACTATGTCTGTGACCCTATATGTCCTGTTGATGAAGTTAGGTGTTGTTCTGAGCATTATTTATGGCTATAGAGTGGCGTTTTGGTTGAGTGCGTGGCTCTCTGTATTTCTATCCTGTGGTCGTTACTAAAGTACACATTTGTCCTTAAAAAAAGTCAAAAATTTAACGTCTTGTCAGGTTCGGTGAGCTGCTGCTGCTGCTGCGTTTGATTTGAATGTGATGTATTTTTGTTATGATCTGGAGGTAACAGCAGTGATAGATGGAAAACAGATAAAAAAAGGGGAGGGTATAAATAAAGCAGCTTCCTCACCCTGTCAATGAAACACTGCAGGAACCATTTAGTGCAGTAAATCCCTGCAGACATCTGCTCTCGATCCTGCAGAGAGAAAAGAGGAGACAGACCATCAGGCTTCAAACTGAACGTGAATCACTTCTCATGTTGTCACAAATCTCCGATTTTGCTGCAGCGTCAGAGTCTGTTATGAAATGGTTGCATAACGGTGATCTCACCAGATGTTTCTTTAGCTTGGGGATGAGTTTAGAAATAATCTGATCATGATGTGCCTGGAAACGCTGAAGTTTGGGGAACCCGGGGACGAAAAAGCCTTCACAATGAGAAGAGAGAGAGAGAGAGAGTTTAATCCTGCTGATGTACCAGCGTTTTTCAAATCCACACGGTGTGCCATGGAAACATCCTCTCACCGTGCATGCCGTGCCTCTGATTGGTCAGCAGCTGTGACAGAGCCCAGAAGGCGTCCTCCTCGTTCATGTACATCAGCAGCAGAGCGGCGATCTGACTCATCCCCTGACAGTAGCTCACCTCCTGAAGTGAAGGGCGGTGATGTAACAGGTGCACAACACTGACACAGAGTTCCCCCGTCCTTTTAAGAGGTCACGTTACTATGACAACCAGTGTATGATCACAGGGTTGAGATTAGATTTTAGGTTTCTTTTATTGGTTTTTACATCCATTAATGGTCTGAATGTTTGGGGATAAATTTGGTTCTTCATATAAACCCACGTCTTCCTCCAACATCGTTGATGTTTCCTGATTTTATCATTTCTCGGTTCTCTTGAAAAGTGAAAAACAAAGCGTCTGAAACCTGTTTTGGAGGAACCCTCAAATTTCTTAGTTTGTTTCCAGGAGTCGAGGATTTAAGCTCGTGAAAGCACGGCAGCGTTTACGTACAGGAGAGCTCTGTGACTGAATCCACAGAGTAAATACGGATAAAATAACTGAGTGGACTGTGGAAACAGAGGCAAAGCTCTGGATGGAAAAAGAAAAACGTGAGTCTTTGCCTCGTGAAAAGTGGATTTTTATCAGTTCGATGGAGTTTAAACGTTTTTTTGGTTTTTCTCTTGATGAAGGAAAAACAGACTTACTGTGTTGTAGACTGAATACGCAGACAGGACGTGGAACAGAGACTGCTGCCTGTGGAGAACAGAGGTAGGACAGAGGGAGGTGAAGAGGCAATTTTAATATAATAGATGTCATTTATGATCAAGATCAACTGATTTTCACCCTCAGGACTAGGGCTGCACGATTTTAGTGAAAAATTAAACTTCACCAAACTTCACTTTAAGAATAAAACATTTTTCTATCATCTCTCAAAACAAAACCACTAAAAAACGATGTAGTACATATGCCAAGCCAGTAAGTGGCGCTCTAACGCTGCACAGTAAATGCACAAAAGACAGAAGAAGAGTGCAGAGCGTGTGTATAAAGGTTGTTTTGGCGCCATAAAAGAGTTACTCTGTGTGTCACATGATCGTTTCCAGAGATGCAGATAGACATCCACACGGAGATGAAATGGTCGTCGTTTACAGATTTATTCACTCTCTGACCCGTTTTTAAAAAGTACCGTTTACAGTCACCTGAAACACCGATACGACAAAAAACGTTAGCGTTTCCTGCTGAATTTGTTTCCGTGGTGACGGGTTGATACCGCCTTCAGACAGACTTTGCAGCACGGAGTGGTTTACTCTTGATCTGAAACTGTGAAGTCGTACCAATTCAACACGACTGACTCGCTCTTGTCCTATTTAACCACGAAATTATCGCCTTCCATGTTTGTTTACACTGGTGTGTGTGGGAACTGGGGAACGCTCCCGCAGGAAGGGGGAGGAGCCTACGGTGGCCTGGAGACGCGAGACAAGATAGAGAGGAAAATCAATTTGAGGATTTTAATTTGTTAACATTGTCATGATCAAATAATCTGATTATAATTTAAAATCGATTTATCGTGCAGCCCTACTGAGGACTGAAGGTGGTCTACATCAGATCCAGACTCCAGTGAGGTCTGATCTCCTCTCACTGTCAGCAGGATCCAGTTTCATCTGTTTACTGCAGCGTTTTATGAGGACTATTCATTCACTGTATTATTACATCAGTCCTAATGCCCGCAAACCAACTGTATTAATACATGAACAGCCAGACGGCGCTCCTTCATCTGATTGATTGTATATGTGAGTAAATAAAACAGAGAGGCAGTAAACACTTCATCGCAGAGCTCTGCAGCTCCTCTCTGCTCTGCGTCATTTTTCAGAGACTGAACCTGGTCCAGACTTTCCGCTGCAGCTCCTGAACAGGCCTGACATCCATTAGTGACGTCAGATCTGGTTCCACACTAAGTGCATAAACACACATCCTGCACACATCAGCCACACAGAGTTCACACCGCGGTCATGACATTCAAGTTACAGACGCAGTTTTTTTTTTTTCAGGACCTGCAAGAATCAGCGATCGACATCTAAACTGAAGGACTGAGGAAAAACAAGACGAAGGCGAACGTGAGGCTTAAAGTGCACAGAGAGAAAACACGTTTAAGACACGAATGTTCTGCTTTTCAATCACAGATTATAATCACATTACAAACTCAAAATCTTATCAAATAAATCTTTTTAAGTAGCCGAACAAAATATTTCCAAAAGCAGGATAAGCGCAAAACTTCCAGGAGCAGGCAGGCAAAAAATCAGATGAGAAAGAGACACGGTCCATCAGGTAACAGACATTTCTTTTTTTCCAAAGCTGTATGAACAATATTTGACAGAAAACTATAATTTTCAAGCCCCTTATATGAGAAAAATATGTAATGCCTCAGTTTAAGGCAGAACGAATGATAAAACTACATAAATCTCTTGTTGAAAATAATTGACCTGTGTTATTTACAATACTTTCTGAAAACTCAAAACTTTCCAAATTTTATATATCAAAGCTTTCCAAATTTTAATACAAGTGAAATTCAAAACTCTCCAAAACATGGTATTTGTCAACGTAGACAACTTTCAAAATATCAGTAGTTGTCGAAAAATATTTCTCTTCTTAATGAAAATAAAAATAAAAATTCAATTAGGAAACTTAAAAAAACATGTTTTTTAAATTACATCCACAAAAACACAACAGTTTTTGAAAAACACTAAAAGTTTCAAAGCTTGAATTTTGGTAAAATAACATCTGTCTAAAGCTCGATAGTTTCTGAAGACACAAAACTTTCAGCTTCATGATCTTTGAAGAAAACGGGACACAAACAGGAGCTTTAATTTTTGATAAACGTCTTTATATTAAATGAAAAAGTACGATGACAGATATATTATCATCCTTCAGTCCTGAGATGACGAGGTCAGTTGAACTCATGATGTCTCCTCTAAAAGGTCTAACTTACATGAATGAGGGAAACTTCACTAAAGGTCACCTGGTGAAAGAAAAAGTCGAGGATCTGACTGTTTATGTTTCTCATCTGAACTCTCTGAACTCGGACTTACTTGACTCCGAAGCGGTCCATGAACATGATGTGGTTTCTGAACGTCCTGTTGATGTCCAGGTCGATCTGTTTGATCTCAGGTGAGTAGAGTCTGGCCTGCTCCTTCATTTTCTACCAGCGAACAGAGAACTGAGTTACCACATGTGGAAACTTATGGAGGATCACACACAGACTCTTTGTTTCTTTGTAAATCTAAATCCTCCACACACCTCGTACTTTCCCTCGTTCTCCTTCTTGGCCCGCTCCACGTCCAGCATCAGCGCCCAGGCTCGGCCTCGCAGCTGCAGGGGAATGCCCTTATAAACCCGCTTCACCATCTGACAGCAGAGAGAGGCCGAAAACATAAACACTGAGCGGATAAAAAACCAGAGGGTTTAGAAAGCTGTTTCTGTGCAGCATGAGTCACCGGAAAGTTTAACCACCTCCAGTTCGCCTACGACGACATTCACAGGAACAGAGCTGAACTTTTCCACGTTTTTGGAGTAATGCAGCTTTTCATGTGACACTAAGACATGATAAGGTTTATTCCTGGAGGAATTACAGCGTTTTCAGAAAATCACAAATATACTGAACTTCCACTGAGTGCTGTCAAACACCATTAACATCCAGCCACGTCAGATCTGGAGCGTCGATCGGCCCCCGAGGTTTCTTCAAAAACAGAGATCAGGCTTCAACAGAGTGATGGAGTCAAACACCTGACAGTGGACGGCTGTTTGTGTCCCGACACTAAGTCATGAATATTTTTGAGGATTATTTTGAGCTTTCGTTTTGTTTTCGGGTGATGTCCAGCTGAGGTTGGAACTGAGTCCAGGCTGTGAAGATTCAGATTCAGCTTTCATGTTGAACGCTCGACCAGAAGAGCAACAAGATTCTCAGATTTCCCTCCAAACAAGCGGCGGATCGATGTTGTTTATGACCCGTCTGTGAAATAAATGATTTTGATTGGTCACAACCTCAAAACAAGTGTGACAGCTCTGAGGAGTCATCTCAGCGTCTCCTTTTCCTGACGGTGTTTGTGAAAACTCGTTCTTATAACCAGATAAACACAGCGAGGGTTTCATGGACACATGCATACGTCAGTTTTCTGAAAACAACACCCCTTAATCCTGAACGCCTGACAGCAGCTTTGACACCTGAGGAGGTGGAGCGTCAGAACTCTTCACAGGATCTATAAATAACCAAGTCCTTAAACTGACGTTAAACTCACGTTTCATGACTGCATGAAACCTCTTGTGATAACAGGGTTTATTTTAGGAACCGCATCGATTGATTCACACGGGACAGAGCTGTATGTGTGCTGCAGGTGTAGCTGTTAGAGGAGAGCAGCAATGTGGATCTGAATTTATCGGAATCCCAACCCTCATCTTTGGTCATGAGCTGTAGGTTGAGGTCGCAGGAGACCGAATGTCAAGACTTTCTTTATTTAATCTTTATTCGTCTTAGACTTAGTTCCTCCCGTTCCTATTGGAACATTGGGCGACGAGTCCCCTCCGTTTGCTCCGGTCTATTGCCACACTTGCCGGTCTCTCTCTTGGTCAACGGTTGTACTGTTGGTGGTTATTCATTATTCGTAGCGCTGAGTAATTTATTTATGAGTTTTGTACCAATGCATTTTATTTTGAAAAGTCTGCGTGACTTCCGGTGTTATTAATTGTGGTAGTATTGTCTGAGTTTGGCAGAAGCACACGGCCCATCGGTCAGTCTTTGAAGAGTAATATGAGAATGCTGAGAATGAGTCATTTTGCGCTCTTGTTTAGCGTTTGATTAGCGCCGCTAGCTTGCATTAGCATTTTTTCTGGCTCCTGGTCAGCGTGCAAGGCTAATGCAGTGTTCCAGTTACCCCCGGAAGTCAGATGTCGGCGCTGGGAATGACACTACACCTGAGTTAACAGTACTCCAGTAAACAAAAATCAAACAAAAATCCAAACACTGAAACAAGCTCTGAGTAGAACTGATACGACTTTGCATCACAAGGATCCGGTTTTAGTGGTTCAGGCATCTGATAAGGACTCTGAGGTAGACTAAAACTGTCTGGCAAACACTGCTGGGTCACTGCAACCCAGTTTTGGATAAGCGTAGGAGAATGGATGGATGTAAGTCTCCAACTATGAGAAGAACGGTTGCCATGCCAATACCGTATCTTGCAACAGTAAACAAAGTTTCTTGATTTGGCTGAAACTTCGACCCACACTCTTCGTTGAGGGTGGAGGTTTTTCCCCTCGATCTTCTATCTGAACTCACAGTTCAGGGATTTCGTTGCGCTCTGATCCAGGAACACTCAGGATGAGCGAGCGTGTTGGAATTCAGTGTTTTGGACTCGGCATTGACAGTTGTGGTGATTCACAGTGTGACCTCGCAGTCTCACCGACCGCCGTGGAAACCAGCACCCACTTCACATGGCGGTGAGGTCGTTTTACATTAAGATAATAAAGCCTGATCTGGGTCTCCGTTTCCCTGAGCTCTGGCATTCTTGGTCTGTTACTCACCCTGTCACTGTTCCTGTATTTTTCCCACTTCTTCACCATCTTCAGCCACTTCTCTGCTCTCTCGATCTCCAGCTGCTTCCTCTGAGGAGGTGAGGATGTAAACAGTGACGACTTGTCATCTTTTCTCACTGAGTACAGACCAGTTTTTTTCTCAGGATCCTTCCTTACCTTTTCCTCATGTGCTGTCGGGGCCGGCAGCTCATCCTCACTAAGATTCAGGAAATAAAACAAAACATCAGATGGAAATTCAACACGCAGCTCGAGCGCTTACTCTCACCTGTGTAAAGAGGTTATTAAAGGTCAGACTTACTGCATGAATCCGAAACGGTCGATGACTTTGTAGATACTGTAGTCAGCATCCTCCCAGGGGTCGATCTCCACTCCGCCCTGCCGGCCCTGCAAACACAGACACAGATTCACCGACATGCAGACACAAAAAAGGGAAAAGCAGCACACCCACATTCAGAGGATCATGTGCAGCTTTATTATAACATGTAAGGGTAGACAGAATAAGTGACGGTGGTAAGTGTTGCATTTCCCTGATGATGTTCAGGAGTAAAAACAGCCGTACAGTTGCACAGCTCTGTGCAGTTTCCTCTTGTTTTGTGTCTGAATGTGGAGATAAGCTGTCAGCCTCTCTACTGTCTACTGCACAGAGCTGTGCACGTCCTTACGGGTTCGAATCAGGGGGTGCTTTTTCATCAGTTTCTCAACTAGTGGAGTCAATACCCAAATGATGTGATGCTAATTTTCTATATATCAACAAAAAAAAAGGTCATGCATAACTACTCCACACCATGCGGTCGAGTGTTCTCGTCTGAGTCCTGGAAAACCCCAGACTGACTTTGCACCTGTTTACAACAATAAAGGTCGTGTTAAAGTGACAATAAAACCTGTTTTCAGGTCATCCACAGACTTCACTCCCCAAATCCAAATCTTTATTTTAACTTTTGGGGTAAAAGCTCAAAGTTTTTAAACTTTCACGAGCTGTTAAAACTTTAAATTTACACATGTTCTCCTCGTAACCTGACCGTCGCACACACTCTCGACCTCAGTGAATCAAGTGATGTTTTCTTAAAAAAGTGAGGACGTGTGCGATTAAAGCCGTCCTGACCGGTGCTTTGTGGAGGTTTTTCAGACTCAAAGATTAACACAAAGATTAGGCGGTATGTCAACGTTATTATACAGCAGCTGTTTTACGACAACAATAGCAGCAAATATTACTTTTCAATAAGGTATTAAATGTGTTTTTTTTTCTCAAAACTTTCTCTTTGTGTAAGAATATTGAAATGATTTATGAATCCTTGAGTGTATCCATGATATTTTGCTTTTTAATGAACCGAAGGAAACACGGAACAATGTTTTGGATGTTCTTCCATTTGTTCGTGTTTTAATCATGCAGTCAAAAACTGTAGAGATGGATCATGATCCAACCTGTGATGGTCTCATGATAAAGAGTTCCCAGTAAACACATCCAACTGAAGCCTCCGTGGTTCTGACGTCTGTTTGGGTTTGGTGGGTCTCATGCGAGGCTTGTTCTGGGGAAGCTAACAGTGAATGCTTCGATTTTTCCATCAAACTCAAGTCAAATTTTATCAACCTAGTCCAGTATTATCCAGTTTGGGTGAGGGAGTGCAAACTTGGATCCCTGGGATTTTTCTCTTTGTGAGTCATTTCTGCTTTTTCCAAATTTGATTGCGATCCTTCAAACGGAGGTCAGATATCAGGGCTGACGAATCAGATTCAAGTTGCCAAAACAGCAGAGAAGTTGTAATCGAATAACTGAGGCATAATTGAATTCACATGCATTTAAACGGATTAAAACACAGAAGCAGCAGTTACAGCGAATCAGACTGCAGTTTGAAGAGCGTCCAGCCCGTACGCTCAGAATCTGCATCAGCAGCACAAAGTTCTGGAGTTCTGTTTATATCACGGAAAATCCATTTGGGCTTCAATCTGGTCCCAGTGTTGACATAACAGTGAGGGGGCTAATCCTCCGACAGCCTACCGGAGGGGCTTCTCACTCCACGCTGAAAAACAACACCCTGCCCTGTGGTTGGCTGCAGGTCTGGAAGGCAGCCAATCAGCCGCCCGCTCTCCGCGAGGAGAAGGGAGAGGGTCAGAGCATGTTCACGGAAACTGTTGAGCTTCTTCATGGTTGAGTCGGCACTCTGAGCCCCCGAGGCGCTGCGAGTGATGTCAGCGTGAAAGTGAGAGGACTAAAAATACCGCAGGCCGACAGAGAAGGACAGAGAGTTACAGAAAACACATGTGATTTATACTTCTGTCACTCCGCTGCTGTAGTACTACTGAGCCCAGAGCTAAGACAGGAAATCAATGACCCAAAATAGGACATGAAACAACTTCAACCTGAATGAGACGTTTGAAAACAGCGGCAGGCTCGTCTACGTCTCCAATGAGAAGCAGAAAAAACATGTTTTTCATCCTCCAGCAGATAAAAATATCTACTTATCGGTCACATCATCTGATTTTTCCCCCTAAAGCCTTTAGCTTCAAACAGACGTGCAGCTTCAGGAAAACAAGCATGATCACCAAAGTCCTTTTCACCTAAAACTTTGGATGTTTTTCAGACTAATTTGGGACGTTCAGACCCTCAAAATTCAGAAACTTCTCACAGCGGCTGCTGCTAAAACCTTCTACCGTTAAAAGTATCGGTAAATTGTCAGTTTATCGCCCTGCCCTAACCTGACATCAGTTTATGACTGTGTCATGTCTCCAAAACTGTGACATTAAATGTTTTTATTAAAGCTCATGTAAGGAATTTTCTATTTGTGGCTATGTTGGCGCCCCCTGTGGACACAACAGTCTTTACTCATCTTGACGTCTACATGCATAAGTAGTCATTATTGACAAAAGTCTTCTTCAAAATTCAGCTGCTCAGTCATAAAAATCCTAAAATTGTCGCTGATGATCTCGTTTACTTTGGGGTTTCATAAAAAGGTATTTATTTTAATTTCAGTCTATTTCAGAAACCTAAGAAAATCCCTTATAGGAGCTTTAAAGTGCATTGTTGACTCATAAATGGGATTGCTGTAAAACCATCTTGACCCACACGAAGTTTAACCGTCTAATAATCAAAAGATCAGGTAACGTAAATCGTCAGACTCAAGAACTCGACTCACGTTTGGAAAACTGGTGCAATTATTTCCTGCTCTTACCTTCCTGAATAATAAACAAAATTGTGGTTTGTTTTGGTTGGATCAGCTGTTATCATCAAGATCTGATTGAGTATCATCAATAACTACATGAGTTTTCATTACGTTCATCTTTGGCCTCTAAACTTGATTTTTAAAGGACATGTTAACTCTTAACACAAGACTGCACTCCTGTTAAATCTGACTGTACTCATCATTTCTGCTCTTCACTTTGTGTCTACAGAGAAAAAGAAAAGGCCAAAGATCAGGATGAGTCAAGACAAAGACCTGGATCTATCTGAAACAGGATTTCATCATTCTGAGAAGAACATCTGATCCTCTTCCAGCCCCGCTCCTCCTCTCTGCTCTGCTCTGCACATGTGGCCGGAAACCAGCATCCCGACTCTGAAAACACGATGACCGGGACTGCAGCCAGGCCCCGGAGGTCACTGTCAAGTCAATCGTTGCTCAGTGTGTCACAGCTGTTGCTATGGCTAGACAGGGCAGCCCACCCCCACCCTCACATCCCCACCCGCCTCTTTGCTCCAAGCTGCTGAGCTAAATTTAACCTCTGGACACGGCCGACTCCTTTCCGACTCTGCTCCACTCTGGATCTGTTCACTACCAGAATCAAACTATCTGGGTCGGCGAGGAGCTGCAGCTTCAAACAGCCTTTCAGACTCACCTGAGCTTCTATTTTCAGACCTGATTTTCCTCTGATCGAATAATAAGCAGATTAAACACGAGAACATGATCTGAACACACAGCAGCTTTGATCTGGACAAAATATCAGCGTCAGCATGTGGTCCAGCTCTCAATGTCATCAGTGTGTGTACTGTACGAGCTCTATTTATATCCATCTGGAGTTACTCTTTACGGTCCATCAGCGTTTTATTTGCCTCAGGATGACAGAGTCTGGGTGAACGTCTGAAAGAAAGATACTTGCAGGATTACGTCACTTTAGAAACAAAAGAGCTTTAAGAGTGAGGCTGCGTTAACCCTTCAGGAGGAGCTTCACCGATAATTCAGACAGCAGGTCGTTTAGCAGAAATATGTGAATGTATAATCACACTCGCTCGGTTTAAACAGCTGTTTGTGATCATGCGGTCTTATAATGAGGGCGGGGTAATGTCAAGAACCACACTGATCTGTGTGGTTCTTCTAATGTTGATTCAGTCGCTGACATGAATATCCAGATCATTCCCGACCGTTTCTTCTAATATTTGTAAAATAATAAAAGCCGGACTGCAGAGAGACCTCCAGGCTTTTACCAGGATCAATCCTGGATTATTATTGGATCAAAAACACGGACGAACAAATATTTCACGTATTTACGTTAAGTTTGCAGACCGGACTTTAAATGTGTAGTTTTACTATTTTCCAGCAGGAGGCACATTTACACGATTTTATCCCCCAGTTAAAAACAAACAGTTCCTTTGATTCTCCATTTTCCACTTCAGTGAAATGCAATAATTTAGTGTTGTTGTTCATCATTCACATGGTCCAGGATATTTAATCAGGAAACAAAAGAACCTTCTAGCATTAGAGTTAAAGTTATAAAAACATGTATTTTTAAATCATCAGTCCTGTTTAATGATTTAAAAATACATGTTTTCATTCAATTATTAATTTTTTCAATAATTCATGTTTATTGAAAACAGGTATAAGAACAAAAATATGTTTTCATTCAAATAAATTATTTAAAAAATTAATGATTTAATTTAATAAAAACATGTATATTTAAAAAAAATACATGTTTTCATCAAATTAAAATTTTTTTAATCAATCATTTAATTTAGTAAAAACATGTATTTTTAAATTATTTAGCAGGACTGATTTAAGTATAAGAAAATATATATTTAGTATCATTGTGACGGTTTTCAGATTCGTCCTCTTCTGGAACAAAATGACGAACGAAGAGGATTGGTCAACGTGAGCTCTGTCGACCAATAAGGCTTCTGCATTCGGCTGATGAGTGTGGAGGAGGACCAGGTGATTAATTTGACTTATTGATCGAGAGTCTGAGCTTCAAAGTGACACCAGACTCTGTCCTGCTGATCTGAGGAGTGGGTCTAACAGTGAAGCAGTATTTGAGTATCATCTGTCCACAACTGGACAAAGAGCCTGGAAACATGACAGTGAAATGTTTCTACTTCTGATTGGCTCAGCTGAACTCGGATTATTAAAGACCTGGTGGACAGTTTGGACCTGAAAAGAGCAGAGACAATCCAAGTCGACTCCATTTACTACAACATTGATGGCGCCTGGTTTTTATGTTAGTTTCTACGTCTCTCTCCATCACCTCAAACCACAAGCTCAAACCTATGATTACACAACATGTTATTAATGCACTTTGGCAGCAAACGCACATCCACCCCCCCACCACACACACACACACACACACACACACAGACACACACTCCACACATGCAGAAAATCACTGCAAACAAACCACACAACACACATTTGAATTCACACTCTGGTCCGTCTCAGTGTGTCTGTGGGTTTCTTTCGCCACATAATCAACCACGTGTGAACTCTTCATCCTACAGAATAAATACACAGAACACAGGAGGAGATGTGGAGACCGTTTCTGCACTTCTTACTGTCATTTCTCACAGCCTGTACTATCAGAAGACACTGTTACAAATACGTGTTTTTACTACAGAAACATGGAGGTAAACAAGGATGACATTAGTTTGAATAATAACTCCTGTTTACAGTTTATTCAGTTATGATAGGGCTGCACGATAAATCGATTTTATGAAGATGTTTAAAAATTAAAATCCTCAATTTGATTTTCCTCTCTATCATGTCTAGCTCCTCCAGGACACCGTAGGCTTCTCCCTTCCTGCGTGAGCGCTCCCCAGTTCCCACACACACCAGTGTAAACAACATGTAAACATGACGTTTGCAAAAGAAGGCGATAATTTCGTGGTTAAATAGGACAAGAGCGAGTCAGTCGTGTGGAATTGATACGACTTCACAGTTTCCCTGCTGTAAAGTCTGTCTGAAGGCGGTATGAACCCGTCACCACGGAAACAAATTCAGGAGTAAACGCTAAAGTTTTTTGTCGTATCGGCGTTTCAGCCACACGGAAACGGCGTTTCAGGTGACTGTAAACGGTACTTTTTGAAAACGGGTCAGAGAGTGAATAAATCTGTAAACGACGACCATTTCATCTCCATGTGGTCTATCTCTCTATCTGTATCTCTGGAAACGATCATGTGACAACCTTTATACACACGCTCTGTACTCTTCTTCTGTCTTTTGTGCATTTCCTTTGCAGCGTTACAGCGCCACTTACTGGCTTGGCATATGCACTACATCTTTTTTTAGTGGTTTTGTTTTGAGAGATGATAGAGAAACTTTTTATTTTTAAAGTGAAGTTTGGTGAAGTTGTCACTGGATAAAAACTTAAGAGAAAAAAAATCAAGATTTTATTTTTGGCCAAAATCGTGCAGCCCTAATATGACTATAGCCCTATATGTTTAAATGAGCCACAGTCCTTTAGATCAGCTGATGTACTTTGACTGTGTGGCCTGCCTGAACTAACACCGTTCAGTTTCTTAAATGAATCGAAGGTAAACTTACCGTAGCATACTTCAAGATGATATCTGCACGTTCCTCTGCTATTAGAGTCTCAATGTCTTTCTTCATGACAATATCTGAGGAGAGAAAAGAGAGCGCAAACTAAATGATCTGAAAAACAACAACAACAACAAAAACTGGAGATGAGTCAGAGAGAGAAAATCACAGCTGATTGGAAGTGGGCGAAGAGTTGGCGTTCAAACGCCGAAGCTCAATGTGTTTGTAATGACTTCATCAACACACAGAAACAAACACTTATCAATAATTTTGTGAGTTGTAGAAAAATCTGATCAATTTTTCTTTAGTCAATAAAAGTTTCATGAAGAAGTTTTCACCACATCACAGATACAACATTAGAGTCGGGATGTTGAGAGGATTATTGATAAAAACAGAATTTGATAGTTTGCCGATCATTCAGGCCGATATTACCAAAATGTTATATTTTATATGACAAAGATTTGATTGCCAACATGTATCAATGTAGGACAGTGTAAAAGGCTGTGACTCTGTAGTGGAAAACACTGCATGGGCTCCAAGAACCATTGTCAGTGAGCAGTTTGTCACTACATCCACAGATGTTGGTTATATCTGCACAAAAAAAGGGTGGATTCTCCTAGGGCTGGACGATAAACAAAAAAATTACCAATACCAAAATTTACGATGATAACTAACGTCATTTTGCACATATCAGTATATTTGGTGTCAAAAAATATATAAAAACAAAGTTGGTTTTGGATGTGTGTAGGTAGGCTGTGGTCTCATGTCCCTTTAAGACGCTGTCCTACGTCAGAGACGAGACTCCACGCCATCCAGTCCGTAACAAAGAGGGAAAGACAGGTGAGGAGATGGAGGACGGAGAGAAAGTTGTAGCGGCTGAAGTAGACGAAGTTAATGTGGGAGGGGGTGAGCAGCTTGAGGAGTAGTTATCGTCCATTTATCGTTATCGAGGTGAACTGATCAATATATCGTGATATTGATTTAAGGCCATATCGCCCAGCCCTAATCTGCACCATGCAAAAAAAAGGTGCTTTCTTTCATGTTTGGTGCATCAAAAGAGACCCTGAACTGTAGAGCAGATGAAAATCCTCTATCAGGCAAGAATGGGACAACATCTCACAATCCAAACTCCAGAAACTGGTCTCCTCAGATCACAAACGTTTACAGAGTTTCGTAGTTTTGGATCACTACAAACGGCTGCATTATTATCGAGTCTCGTCAGTCTGATTGGTTTTATAAGAGCAGCTGGGGCGGGTCAGGACTGTTTTAAAGATAACCAGAGTTGTGGTCGTCGACTCAAAGGTCTGAAACCTGGATCTGAGTGGGCTCTGCAGCGGGTTTGTCCATTACGCAGCCGGAGAGCTGTAACATGAGAGCTGCAGAAACACAAGCCTCATGGGAACAATCAACCAGCCGGTGTTCATATGAATGTACGTTACACCACTTCCCACTGAACTCCTCCATAAAATCTGCTCCACGAAGGTTCTGTCAGAGGATACCAGACTGGGCGCTCACAGTTACGACCTGCCACGACTCCTCTCGGCCCAAGATGACCAAATAAACCCCAGAAGTTACAGAGAAACGGCCTCTGAATGTTTTCTACAGAATCGCCACACGGCTTACAGTCAGATGAGGCGGAAAATTTCAGAAGATTAAAAAAAACAGGGTTCAGTGAGGCACAGTTAACATCATTTCATGTCGTGATATCATAACATCTCTCGGTCTGTTAAAACTGAGCTGGAGCTGCAGGGCTGCTGCTAAATCCTCCCCAAACAAAGCTGCGAGGGTATTAATCCCACTTCATCTCTATTCTCAGTGCAGAGGCAGGACCCAGGGGGGTAATCTGGACACGCAGCAGCACAACACAAAAACCATCAGGATTAGGAACATCTCCAAAGTGGGATTACGCAATAAAAGAGTGTTAGTCCAAAAGTGGGAACAAAGAGGGACTCTGCCAGCTCTGAGAGTTAAAAACACAACATTTACAGCCTCATCTTTAATTTTTCTGTCATTGGAAAGCATGAAAGTGCAGCGGTGGGAGGTCCCATAAAGACAGAGACGGTCCCTCTGCTGCTTTACTGGTTTCAAACTCGATGAAAAGCATCTGGTGTTAAAACTGCGGCTCCAGTTCACACTCTATAAACTCAGTTTATCAAAGCGACGACGCTCTTCCTCAAACAGCAGAAATCTTTGATGGTTTGGGCGTTAAATCGGGCGTCGCAGCCCCCTACAGTCTGATCACCAAACCGCAGACAATGTGGTCCAGATCTTAAATCAAAAGAGCTCCAAACTGTGCCAGAGCAACAAGAACCGGGTTTAGGAGATCTGGTTTGAGACGACAGCAACAGTTTCATCAGGAACCAGGAACATGTATGAAAAACACTTTTTCCTTTCTCTTCACAGTGGGGTTTTAAAGTTGGTTTAAAAGTTGTAAACAAGAAAAAGTTTAATACTTTTAATACTTTCTGAAACCACATGCAGTTTCCGTCAGCCTATACCAGTTTACACCAACAATAACACTCATGATAACGGCTCTGCTGAGACTGGGAAGACTGGCCTCTGGCTGCAACACAGCAGGTCAGCTGATTGCAGATACAGCCTCTGATTGGTTAATGGACCAAAACAAAAATGGCAGCATCTGTCTCGCAGAGTCAGTTAAAAACAGAAACGGCACTTTTCCCTAAATTAACATAAATCATTAAAATCACCTCCATGGTAAAATATAACGGCTTATATTTGTGTTTTTTTATCGTACTTTCTCTGTCCTTTCTCAAACATACCTACATCCTCTCCCTGCTAAATAAACTGTTCATCTCAATCTTTACTGAGCTAACTCCGATTTAGAGAGCAGATTTTCATCCAGACCCCAAAAACTCTAAACATGAGGTCAGTGTTTAAAGGAGGTGAACGATCAGTCAGTAAAAGCTTTCATGTAATCTTAAAGGAACAACAGATCATTTTCAACTGTTCGAGATGTCAGGGATTCTCCACATGTTTTGACTTTTATCTGGTTTTTAATTGTTCCGTATCAAACCCTGATGTTTCTTCGCCGTATTCATCCAAACATTGACGTTACAGTCTCTCTTAAAACTGAAAGGATTATGTCTTAGAGAGAGGTCGTGTAAATTCCCCTTCTCCCTCTAAAAAAACATGTCACTGAAGGCCTCACACATGTGGATCCTGACATTTCACACATTTACTCAGAAACCTGAGATGCTTCATTAGGTTTCAGAAGTGCCAGCCGAGGTCTGAAGCGTCACAGATCGAGCGGACACAGTCAAAGTGAAAGCTAACAGTGTTTCAGATCCGCAGAGCTTCATGCAGAGAGGTTACAGCTTACAGCAGCTCTAAATATGAGCTGTCATCTGAAGCATATGGCAGCGGCTGCATGTGGTCAGCACACTAAATCACAGAGCGGCTCTGGCTGGAGTCCCAGTAAGAAGGCTGGAGGCCCGAACTGGGGGAGAGCAGAGAGACTGGACTCTACCTGAAAGAGAGGCTGGGTGTCCTGAGGACGCTGGGGTTTTAAAAAGAAGCTAAATGGAAATTATAGAAAAGTAAAAGAGTGGACTCTCAGGAGCTGCTCTCAGTTAAGCTGTTGGACCATCAAAGGAGGGCTGCAAAAGAAGAAGAGGTCCAACCTGCAGAAGATATTCTAGATTAAGACTAAGACACCAGTTTGACTTTGCAAAGCTACTCAATGGACCATTTTCTTCAAATAAATGACTCAAAGAATTTTTTTTAGGGAGGAAACTATGCAAGCTAAAGTTAGAGTTAGCCACCTGCTATTAGCCTTGCTACACTGTTAGCCGTGCCAGTAACGGTAGAATAAACAACAGTACACATTAGTGATCGAGCTACTTCTCTTACTGAGGCAGCTGCATGTCTCCAGATGAGACCGAACAGGAAATGAGGAACGCGAGTTAAGACGCGGAGGCACCGATTGGCGGGGGGTGGGGGGGATGTAGTTGACAACGCTTTTCTGGTCCGAGTTTCATCGGTTTTCCTGTCGGCGTGAAGAGCAGTAGCCTACAGTATATCTACAGTATATAGTTTACTGTATGAAGTATACTAAATAAAAGAAATAAGAGTCAGTTTAACTATGAAAATGTTCCGCCGTTTAAAAAGATCCCCCGACTTATCCTGTAGATAAAGCCGCGACATCATGACAATACATATATATATAGTATACATATATTGTATACTATTTATATATGTAGTATACTGTAGATATCTACAGTATATTATATTTTTTATAACTTCAGAAAAAAAAGTAAAAAATCGGCCGATTAATCGGTAATCAGATTTTCCCCTCACTAATAATCGGTATCGGCATCGGCCCCCAAAAAATCCATATCGGTCGGGCCCTGGTTAAAATGTGTAAACTATGTGTTTTTCTATGGAGCTGTACTGTAACAAAATGACCTCTTTCTTTTTTTTTTTTTAACATTGTGTTTTTGGGAAACGTTTTCATGTTTGTATGGATAGACAGAAACAGCATACACTGTAAATCTTATGTAAACACTTAGAAAATAATCTGTGTTTTTTTTTGCACACTGCATATTATTATTATTATTATTGTCATTATTATTATTATTGTTGTTGTTATTATTATTGCATTTGCAGTTTGAACGTATGGCCTACTTCACATGTGCAGGGACTGACCTCTTACACAAACGTATTTGGCCGAGGTCTTCTGCTATAAATTCACCCTCAGTGGTCAGAATGACAGTAAGAACTTGAGTGTTTTTGCAGCAGCAGCAGGAGGAGGCCTGAGAGCTGCTGTTGTCTGAGTGAAGCCCTCACAGGGTCATGTAGAGAAATGCTGGGACTGCTGAGGGATGCTGATCTAGTCTGCTGACGGTTCAGACTCCGATCTTGACCGTAATGGCAGCTTAAATCTGTTTTTTTTTCTTCCTCCTGCTGGTAAACAAACCCTCAGCCTCCATCAGGACGAGCTGTGATGCTGTGATTGAAGACCGAGCAGCAGCTTCACGCGAGATCCTTTTATTCTAACGAGAATAACAAACAAAAGCAGCAGAAAAAGGCGTAAAAAAGAGCGTAAAAGAGCGTTTAATTACCGTGTTTCTCTGGTGTATTTCTGCGCTATCCGTGCAGGAACACAGCTCCGGCTCCTCTGGGCATTCTCCGGTGAAAGTGCAGCTCCAGCAGAACAAACCACCGGGCTGACAACAAAAGCCTCCCTCCGTCAATCCATAGGTTACCATCAGACAGCGCTCACACACACTCTCTCTCTCTCACACACACACATACAGACGCACACTCACTCACACAGCGTACGGGACAGAGCAGCTCCTGGTTCAGGATCCGAGCAGCAGCGGTGGAGGCGCACTGAGCAGGCGCCGCAGCGTGGCACCAGTTCCAGCCATGTGTGCGCCGTGAGGTCCGGCCTTAAAGACACAGGAGCTCCACGAGCAGCAGCTGTAACCCGAGACAAACACGCAGCAGCAGCAGCAGCGCGCTGTGCTGCCACCATCTGCTGGGCAGATGTGGAACTGCAGCCTGTACGAGACCTGCTGGAGGAGGAACCCGGAAATTTTATTCTCTTATTTTAACAAATAGATTAAAAACGAAACAAACAAAAAATAAATAAATAATTAAATTTTGAAAACAAAAATTTAATAATTGAAACAAAAAATTACATAAAAATAAATAAATTAAATAAAATTTACCATAAAAGTAAATAATTTAATCATTTCAGTAAAGTATTATAAAATCAAAAAATATGTTATGATGTTATTATAAAATAATAACATTTTATAACCAAATAATTAAAAATACAATAAAATAAAATTAATTACAAAAACAAAAAATAAATGAAAAACAAATCAAAAAATACATGAAAATACAAATATAAAAACAAAAAGTAAATAAATGAAAATATTACAGAATCAATAAAATTACACATGAGAACATTTTATAACCAAATAATTAAAAATACAATTAAATAAAATTAATTACAAAAACAGAAAATGAATTAAAGATTAAGTAAAATAAAGTTTTTTTAAAATCAAATAATATAGAATAAAATTAAATATAAAAAAATAAATAAAAATAAAACATTATAATATCAGATAATATAAATTACATTAATATTATTGAACTGAACGGGGGGCTGACAAAAAGCTACACATGTGCATGATTTTCAAAGAGTTTCAAACCTTAATTCATCTGACCACAGGAAGTTTCCCCCTCTCCTCTTCTTTAACAGGTTCGGGTCCAGAGATTTCTGGATCATGGTTGTGGTTTCACCTTTGCATTGGACAGTTTTTACCCTGTTTTTGTTGAAGCAGCAACAATCTGTGTTCACTGACATCTGTCTTTAAAAGTGATTTTCAGCACCTCTAAAATACATCGCCAACATCTATTTACGTAACATAAAATAAAAAAGACCCAAATCATTAAAGTGGTTGCAGTTTATTGAGCATATCAAGAGTGATTTTTATCAAACATGGTAAAAATAAAGCAAAAGTGCTGTTGAAAAAGACGAAAGAAACATAACACAACCAAACCCACCTTTATGATCTGATCCACTAAAACGCTTCAAAACAACCGGAGTAAAAAAAACACTTCAGTTCAACCCTAATACAATAAAAGCTGGAGTGAAATATACAGGTAATAAAAGGTGCTCACAGGAAAGTACAAAAACATAACTGTGGCGGAGTGCAAAGAGCAAGAGTCACAGGTTTAATAAAAGAAACATCCTGTGATTTAGAGGCACCACCACAGGTAACAACAACAACACTCAAGTTTGACAAATAATCAGAGTGTGAGACTCACATTCCCCTCTGACTTTAATCATTGTTCCTTCATTTACAACCTCACCAACCTCGAGTCAAATTCCCTTAAACATACGGAGTAGCTGCAAAACTCCTCTGTGCAAAGCATGGCCCTTTTTTCCCCTTCTTCTTCATATTTAAGGGTAAATTTTATTCCTAAGTGATCCAACGTCTCTCTGAAAGTCTGACAGGAAGGATGCTAAATTTTAAACGAAACAATGGTTTAACATCTGAAGAGATATTCAAGCAGAAATAAAAGACATAAAGGTTTGTGTTTCCACATCGAGGCTTTATAAAAATGATTTGGTAGATATCACAGGTAAGACCTCAAACTTTGGCAGCTCTGTTCTGCACCATGAATGTATTTGCTCTGCTCTGCTTGCTCTCACTTTTCATGGATGCACCTGAACGCTTGAGCTCTCAGAACAGAGCCACAGCACCAAATTTAACTCGCAGCGATAAAGTATGAAGTTTGGGGTCCAAATGTCTAACGTTACATGTGTTTTTTTAAGAAGTGCTCCGAATTAAGTCTGTTTTTTGTTTTTCAGATTGTCTCTTTAAGAGTCTGATACTATTACAGAAAACCAGAATTAGAAAGAACTATCCTACCGTCAAAACCCTGGGACTCCACAGATAAAAACAGTAAACTTACCTTTTCACCTCTGCTCTTTCGCTCACTCATCACCTCAAACTGACTTCTGTGCTCCGCTCTTTCTTTACACCTGAATTTTTCTAAGGAAGTGAAGTCATGATACGACAGTCTGCAGCACCACTCCTCACCGGAAGCGGGTGAAGAAGAAATCGTTCTCTTTGGGTGTTGAGTTACTGATTAATTTATAAAGGTTATTCTTTGGTAGTTTTATGGCTCCTGTCTGACAAAGAGGGCCACCTCTAGCTTCCTTCCAACCTCCATCCGCCTGTTAAACAGCTGATTGCCACACAATATTGTAGAGAAGGAATAATATGATTGATCTTTTGTTTTTAATGTATTTAATGTTTTTATTGTATTTATTATGGACTGTTGAGTGTGATCTGTGAATGAACATGTGCTGTTTTATTTGTTTCTGCACTGGCGCTTTCTCTGTAAATGAAGTTCCTAACGGATGAATAAAGTTGATTTGATTTGATTTGATTTGATGCTCATGGTTACAATTTTTCCACATTTCACTTCCATACAGATTTTCTGTTGGGAATCATCAATAGTCTGCACCTGTAGTCTGTATCAGGATGATACAAAAACCTGAATGGGATTTTAATGTTAAATTAGGGCTGGGCGATATAGCCTAAAATCAATATCCCGATATATTGATCAGTTCACCTTGATAACGATAAATGGACAATAACTACTCCACAAGCTGCTCACCCCCTCCCACATTAACTTCGTCTACTTCAGCCGCTCCAACTTTCTCTCCGTCCTCCATCTCCTCACCTGTCTTTCCCTCTTTGTTACGGACTGGATGGGGTGGAGTCATGTCTCTGATGTAGGACAGCGTCTTAAAGGGACATGAGACCATAGCCTACCTACACACATCCAAAACAAACTTTGATTTATTTATTTATGTTTTTGACACTGAATATACCGATTTGGGCAAAATGACGTCGGTTATTGTCGTAAATTTCAGTATTGGTAAATTTTCGGTTTATTGCCCAGCCCTACGATGAATCATGAAAATATTGGTATGCTCCAGTTTATCATGAAATTATAATAATTTAAAGGGAAATTGATTCCATTGAAATGATGAATGTCTGATAATAGAGACTCTCTTTGCTGTGCGATCGAATGAGGGGCTGCTTTATGGTGATTACAGACGGATGTTAATCATTGACTGACCCTGGACAACGAGGAAGTGGTGTCAGCATTATTTGTTTCAGGCCGTCTCACGATGTGATTCACTGTTGAGCCCTGAAGTGAAAATATTTGGATGATCAGCGAAGTCTCCGTGGGTGTAGGAGGTTCTGTCTTTTTGGTGACTTTAGAAAAACAAACTTCAGCAACAGAGAAATCATCAAACCCACAAACTTCTGATTGGTTAAAAACTCACAGTCAGTCCTGCAGATTTAACCTGGAGCTCGCTCTGGTTTCCTGCATCATCTCTCCAACATACAGCAGTGATTGAAATCGTGAAAAATGTCGATCAGTAACTGAGCGCTCAGACCAACGCCGTCTGTCCTCTCTGCGTGGTCAGTTCATCCAGGCGTAGGCGTACAGGCCGTTATCCTTCCACAGCTGACACCGAGTAGCTGAGTACTTCTCCACCACGGACAGGCTGTCTGTCAGGAGAGCAGTGGCTGATGGGTATTCCGACCACTCATCTGCCATCTTACCTGTAAGACAGAAGTGTTTGAGTGTTAGTTTCAGTCACAGACTTGGTAAAAGGAGCAGGAGGAGCCTCTGCTGTTTGAAAAGGTGTCTTCTTTCTAATGGCCAGCAGGGGGCGACTCCAGCTGGGATATCATGAAACTAACTTAAATGTTCTGGTTCCGGGCCGATGTTTTGTCTATTTATGTACAGCAATTTGTTCAGCTGTGGTTGTTTTAAAGTGCTTTACAAATAAAATTGAGTTTTTGTTTTTGTAATGATTATTTTACCACATGTGAGAATGAAAATACAAAAACCATATTCATCGAGTGAAACGTCTCCTCACCTGTTTTGGCGAAGTTGACAACATGGTGCGTGATGAGATCCTGGAAGTTCTTGTCTTTATCAGAGAGAGGTTTCCCCAAAGCGCCCTCCAGCCCTCCGAAAAACGCGACGATGTCCAGACAGTGGAAGGAAAAGCGGCTGGGGAACGTCAGCAAGTTACCGGACGAGTTCACCGGTCCTGACGGCGTGTACGTCACCACGAATCGATACACTGGGCTGTTGAGGGCCGCTGAAAATGAGAGGTTTGAGCAGTCAACACAAACAGGGGTCGGTATATTCGGAAAGGTTACGGGAAGATTTACAGAAAAAGTCTGATCGAGTTTTTAAAAGGAGCTCTGGAGATAAAAACACATTTCGAAGGTTTTTTTTCCTCCAGGAAGCCGAGACAATCCAAGAAAAACGTCAAACATTAGCAGCGTTTTTAAGCTGAATCTTCTGGAAATCAGAGATTTTCATGCTGTTTGACAAACTTCATTAATAATTCATGAGACCGAGAATATTTTCCTGGTAATGATATGAGCTCTCAAGCTCACTCACGCAACATCGTCCCAGATCGGCCATTACTCTGCAACTGAATAAAAAACTGGTTGCATGAAAATAAAAGAAGCCAATGAACCATGGGGTAAAAATTACCCAGGATGCCCTGCAGTTTCCTCTCTCTACAGCTTAATGTCAGTTTACTGAGAGCTTCACCGCTGAGTGAGCTTAACAGACCCCACAGGCACCGAACCTGCATGAAGCACAAATACACTGCTGCATGAACTCACTGAGGACGGAGTGATCCCAGAGTTTTCCTCCAGAATTAAATAACTAGATCTGTTCACGGTGATTTCATGTACCAAAACACAGCAGACTCAGAGGAGTATAAAGTGAACTGTCAAAGTTCTTATTCATACATACAAGGCGGATCTATGTGGATCTGCAGGTGTCTGAAAATCTCAGAAGGTCCAGAGAGAGGCTGTCATGATCAGGAGCGTGCACAAGTGCTGACAAACTAATGACTGCCTGACTAAGCTGTGCGAAAAAACAGATCTAGAGCTAGTTTAGAGCCAGCTCCTAATCTGGAACTGGTTTTCTGTGAACATCAGGGATCCAAAGCTGCACCATGCAGAATAACAAGTGTCAGACCAATTTAAAGCTGAGCGTTATTTCTTTCCTGGTTTACCTGCAGCCCTCAAGGCCAGGTCGTTGTTGGGACAGGTATTCCTGATGTCGGTCACCATGGTGGTGTACGCTCTCTCTGGACAACGGTCTTTGGTAGGGCAGGGTTCAGAGTGTGGATAAAGATCCAACGCATCTTTGGGGAGACTCTTAGAGAAGGTCTGGAGTTTTTCTGCGTGAGATATGATGAGTATCCACAAATATATGATGATATAGATCAACTACTGTCATATATGCATGTCATTGAATCCAAGAATATTCATCAACATTGCATTGAATCTATAATTTATAATAAGTTAACAGTGCAGGTTTTGTCTATACCCACCAACAGCATCCCCCCCACAGCTTTTACCTGTCACAAACCACTCGTAGTCGCCCCAGGTCCACATAGAGATGTTCTCCGCTGCTGGGCTGCAGAGGAAACACAGATCTCTGAGTACAGTCTGAAAGCTGCAGCTGACCATCTAACAACGTTAACAGGCGACGCCTCACCTGAAGTCGGCTTCCTGCGCTGTTGTTCCAATGAGATAGGGAACGTCGCTGTAGACTCCTTTATTCTCCCACACATCAAAAGGTGGAGCTTCCAGGACGTATCCATCCACCACTGCGACCGGACCAACGAAGCTCCCGTTGACAGGCAGGTCTGTTAAGTCTCCTCCTGCCCAGAATGGATACTCCTGCCAAGGGGCGGCCTGGGGCAGAGAGCCGAGAATAAACAAGGCTGGACTGATACTATGACCATTCGACAGGGAGGGACGCAGTGATACCAAAATGGGCTGAGTGTGGGCAAAACTGAGAGACCTTTTAACTAACTAGACACCAGGATTTCTAGATAAACAGTATAACACAGTATGAATAGAAAATTATGATTAGTATTTATTGTCTCTATGTTGTCCTCCCAGCCACAGGAACAAGGACATTCAGTAGGAGACACGGAACCAGCACAACAGAATAAAATATGGAGATAATAAAAACCAACAAGAAAAAAAAGGTCCAACAAAAAATTGTGATGACATCAACCTTATTTGGGGCTTTGAGTGCAACCAACCACTGAACCAACCAACCAACCAACCAACCAACCAACCAACCAACCAACCAACCAACCCAACTAATCAACCAACCAACCCAACTAATCAATCAACCAACCCACCCACCAACCAACCAACCAACAAACTAATCAACCAACCAACCAACCAACCCACCGACCGACCGACCAACCAACCAACCCCTGAACCAACCAACTTAACTAATCAACCAACCAATCCACCAACAACCTAGCTAATCCACCAACCATAGCACAAACCAACAAACCCAACTAATCAACCAACCAACCAACCAACAACCCACCAACCAACCAACGCATCAATCAATCAATCAATCAATCAATCAATCAATCAATCAATCAATCAACCAACCAACCAACCAAATAACCAACCAACCAAATTACTATCCAACCAACCAACCCACCAACCAACCCACCAACAACCATTCAACAACCATCCAACCAACTAACCACCCAAATAATCAACCAACCCACCAACCAACTAATCAGCAACCCTACAAACAAACCAAACCTCACCTAACGACCAACAGACAAACCAACAAAACAAAATTTTATGTTAAATAAAAGAAACTAAAACAAGGTCATAAAAATACTCGCTGAGGATGAGTAAATTTGAACTCTCTGACGTAGGTGTCGTTGTTGTTTTTGCTCTTCACTCTCTTCACAGACTTTCAATAGTTTTTGTATTTTGCAGAGACTGTTTTTGTTGCCATCAGGAGGAAAAGGGTTTTAAATAAATGTTTAATGTGTTTTTATAATAAAAAAGAAATGAAAAAAAAAAAATACAGCAGAGAAACAGAGCAGATTTGGATGTTTTCCAGCTGACAGCTTGTCCCTCCCTCACCATAATCACAACAGATGATGATAATTTCCTGCTGACAACAGTAAGAAACCACCCGACATAACTTTATGGTTATTATAATTACGTAATAATAACTGTTGTCTAACTTTAAAAGCCTCTTTGTATTTCCTCTCTGCTCAAATATGGAGCCATTTTATGTGGGTAAGTCATTTCTAATGGAGTCGAGGGTTAGTTTAAGTTTATATTAATAAGTAATCGTGTAAGTTAAATAATTCATACAGAGTTTAGACAGAAATATGGAGCAATGTAATTTTCCTTAAAGTTTTAATCAGTCGTCAAAATTGATTAAAGATTATTTGATTTCTTTTAGTTTCTCTTTCTCTTACTGATACTCTGCTTCTCAACTTCCTCCTTTACTTGAGTTTATGTTCATATACTTCTCCAGGAAACTACGCTCAATCAGAGTGTCACGGGTCCAATAGGGACTCACATCAGGGTGACAGAGGACTTTGGTTTAAGTCTAACATTATGTTATTATTAGCGCCGGGACTTTAGAGCGATTAATTAATTACAGTAATATTATCTCGTTTAAAATATTAACGTATATTAATCGCACCTCTTGAATTTTTACACTGCAGAACGTTTCTCACTGGACGAGTTTCAGGTATATCGCTTATACCAGCGCTTCCCAATTTGAGTGAGTGCAGCAGTGATTCCAGTCCCACCCAGTCCATGAAAAAATGAACAAGATTGCAGATGAATGTGTTTTAATTGGCTCTGGCGTGGATGGGCATAGATGGAAGATGGAATCCCGGATAAAAAAAAATTGTGTTCTGCAAACTATGCAAAAAAGACTTCACATTTCACCGCAGCTCGTCAAGCCTCCGGTATCACCTGAATGCTAAACATGCTGCAGCTAGCGTGGAGGCTAACATTGGTCCGACTCTGAGTACAGCAACCCACACCCAATGTAATGGTCATTCCTAAAATTGTTGCACTTTATGACATAAAAAAGCACCGATCTGTTGGTCTAAAAATAGACAAGGTTTTGTTTGCTTAAGCTTGTGTATTCATTCAGTTCACAATTCATTGATTCACTCGTATACCATTAAAAAAATATATTATCATTGTTCTCAGGTCAAATATTTATATGCGGTTAATTGCGGTTAATTGTGATTAATTGCGATTAACCAACGACAAAGCCTCTGATTAATTAGATTATATTTTTTAATCGAGTCCCAGCTCTTATTATAATATTACAAATAAATCAATGTCCTTCCTGCTGACTTTCAAGAACAAACGCAGGAAAAAAAAAAATCTGATTTTGATATAAAATCTTGTCAGGCTCCAGGAGTCGACCTGAGTGGCAGCTGCAGAAATATGATGTGACATTTTAAAGGAGCTACAGTGATAAAAAGTTTAATGGCTGCTGCACTTATCAAAGTTCAGCTTCCACCCTTTTAACAGCCATTAAACATATTATTCACGGTTAATCTTGAGGTTTTAGTGAGACGTGCTGAACGGAGGCTGAAATGACAGTTTCTTCTTATTTAGTGCATCTCAACGAGCTCTCGGCGTGGAGTTATGGCTGCACGTTTCTGCCAAAAGAATCTTTCCATTAAGTTTGGAGACCAGTCTGTTCGTATTCTGTCACAGTAAAACCGAGACATTCAGGCGCTTTAATACCTGAGCGTGACATTATGATCCAACAGAAGGAAAGAACAAATTAGAACAAGTATTAAAATGTCTCACTCTATCCTTAAAATGAATATTTGATGAACACATCAAATATTAAAGAGGATATTCAAGAGAATAACTTCTGTGTGGGATATTTCCTGTTGCTAAATTTCCTCAAACTTCACAGAATCGGATCCTTTTGCAAAGATTTGAGTCCAAAGCTGCCTGGGACAAACTTTAAAGTTTATGGATGGGAATCGAAAACAAACTTGAGAAAAGCTTCAGGGAAACTTGTACTAGAAAAATGTTTTAGAAACTCAAGAGGAAGTATATGAAAATTTTAAGGGACAGTTTAGATGAACTGAAGAGAAACTTGAGGTAAAGCTGAGACAAATAACCCTGCAGGATAAATAAGAAAAACACAGAAAAGACTTTCATACTGCTTTATATAAACCCAACACTTATGAGGTATGATAAAGATAAATGCACTTTTAAGACATAAAAAATATACTAATAATGCATCATAAGTGGTGGGTTTATATTCAGTGTTACCAAAACTGTCAGCAAACAAAGAAAAACTAAAGAGAAACATGATGAAAACTTTAAAACCGACTTCAAACACATTTTAAAAACCATGATTTTAAGAAAAGCTTAACAGTAATTATTAAACACTGTACCTGCATGAATATTCTCAATGTCTTCAATAACAAAAGAATAACCACTTCACTGCTCATGTAAGAGCATGAGGCTGCAGAAGAGGTGAGCGAGGTGCTGGAAATGTGTGAATTAGATAAGGACTGGGAATGACTGTGCCCAGGACTTAACCTGGTGTAATCAGACTAGTTTATTCCCCATAATACATTTCATTACATAAGACTCAGAGAATTATTAGAAAAACTAATAAAGCATTCGCATTTTGGGCTCCAAATGTGAAATATCTTCCTGAGGATTTGAGGTCAGCTAAGCCAAAAAGGCTGAGGCAGCACCTCTGTGTCCTCGTCTGACGACTACGATCCGTCCTGGACCTGACGAACCACAGGAAACGAGTATGAGCTGGCTGGTCGGTCTGGTGACACCAGGCTACACTGGACTCTCAGGATCATTTGTTTTTATTGATTAGTGTGAGGAGTTGAAATAAAACCAGATTCAGATTCAGAGGGGTCTCTCTGGATCTAAAATCAAAGAGGAAAACTGCCTAAGACAGAAGAGGGAAAACTGCACACTGCTGTGATTATAAGAAGAGAAACCTTTGGTGAACATCAGAATCTATAAAAAAGTGGTTCTGCACCTGTAGGATCTGTCTGATGGACAGTCGTCTGAGGCAGGTCACGTCTCTGCAGCCTGTCTTTTTAAGAAACACCTGGTTGTCCGACTCGGCCTGTTGCATTGTCCCGTTCAGGATGTATGAGCCGCTCATGTCCACCGCTGCATGGAAGAGACCCTTTGCCAGGGGCGACGTCATCATGACCCTCACTGATGTCCCACCTGCAGCCAATCAGAGCAGGTGAAACATTTTAGAGGACACTATCCCTGAAAGTGTGAAACTTTTTAGAACAGGCTTTGCAGGCCGTGTTTCTCCCGGTTTGATCTTATGACATATTTCCTGTAGTTTCTTTTTCACCTGTCTCCTACCTGAGCTCTGTCCAAGTATGGTGACTTTCTCAGGATCTCCTCCAAACACGTGGATGTTCCTCTGGACCCACTTCAGAGCTGCGATCTGGTCCAGAAAGCCATAGTTTCCTGTTAAAAAAAGAGAGAAGAGGGCAGGGTGTGTGTGATTATCATCGTGAAGCTGCTCTTATATCTGGTGTCCCATTTTGAGCGCCAGAAACAGAACCAGCTCCTGGCAGCTCAAACTAAATTTAACTCTTTTCACGCCAAGGGAGCGAGGAAATGGGCCGTGCAATCAGGAGGATTCAGAATTAGAAAAGCAGTTTCAGTATCATGAGGAGGACTCCTGCCCCGCGCCGTCACGCCATCGTGTCACGCAAGCTCTCAGATTTAACAGGTCATCACACATCAAGAGCAAAATGAGGCGTTTTATCGTTATGTAACACAAACTACACAGCCTGACTCACAACAGGCTCATTCAGGTCCAGCAGAGGGTGAAGACTCGACATGAACTCCGAGAACAGGCTCAGAAATCAGCTCCATTTATCCGTCCTGCATTAACATTCATTAAGAATTCACCTCCTACTGGAACAGTATAGACTCCTGTGCAAGAATCAATCAGACTGGAAGCACAATGCAAACACTATAAATATTTAAATGTGCTGCTTAATGGGTAAGAAGCTTGTAAGGAAAGGACTGCAGGGCCCATTATCACTCCTCTGAAACTGGAATATTGAGCATTAAAAACCTTCATAAATGCAAAACAGCAATAAACTTCTTCAACTTTTCAGGCTTTATTTAGTTTTTAATGGAGCAAGTTGTTCTTACCTAAAGTTACATCGACTCTATAAACAGGCTGCTATTTGACCTCTGACATCAGACCCACTCTGTATTAAAGGTGGGGTAGGAAGGAATCTGTTAAAGAAGCTTCTTTTTTGTGGTGTATTTACAAAAAATCTGTTAATATCAGTCAATAGTTATTAGTTATTGATGACATTTGGTAATATAACGATATCTCTGTGTTCTCTTATGTCTGTGTCGTCAACATTTGAACATTTTTGAGCGGTCCGCTCTTTCTGACTGTAAACAAAGCCGTTCCCCGCCTCTCCTATCCTGACGCTGCTGCCCCGTGTCGTTCAGGAGCCCAAACAAAGTTACATTATCGGAAAATTGTCTGAATCCTCCTTTGGCCACGACTGCCGACACAAGCAAGATAACAAAGTAAATACCGGAGACTCTGGAGGAATAACGGGCGCTTAAAACGGAGGTAGACCGGACAAGAGCTAAAAAGCCGGGTCAACATAAACGATGGGGGACGCTTGGGGATCTTGGTGACCCTGTAACCTTTCTGCTGGACAGGTAAACCGCTTTAACAAAGTAAGACAAGTGTCTGTAACAGAAGTGTTTCTTGTCAAACGGACCTGCTGTAGCGTGTTGTAGCGCCATCGCTAAACTGTCCTCCCTCGGGTCCTGGACTATGTCACTTTATCCTAGTTGTAGAAGTCCTGCAAACATTGTGTTTGCTGGTAGTCTGTTGGCATCTACAGTAGCACCAATGCTTTTGACTTTCACCTTGACTGGGCCCCATTTGTAATGATCTGAAGTATTTATCTGCATTATATCGGAATTTAATTGGAACGATACGAGCGAGCAGGAGCGTCTGTTTGTGGGCGGGGCTTGAGGGGAGAGGAGGAGCTGAGGGGAAAACTGGTTGGGAGGGGTAGAGTTTACATTCAAGATTGACACTTTCTCAGATTCTGACTACCCTACTTTTAACAGTAAAATGTGAGCGCAGTTAGACAAATTTCAGTGTCATAAACTAGAATTTTTTCTTCTTTTTGTTTATGAAATTTTGTAAAATGTAACCTAATAGAATTTAATGAAACTGTAAATGAACTCCACAGTGAGTTATTCAGGGTGATTTAATCCATACAGTCACTCTCATTTCATCTGTCACTGTCATTCCAGTCGCACAGTTGGAGCCTCTCGTTGTGGGACTGATGATGAACAAATTTAATAAATAAAGTGATAATGAATCCATCAAACAAACCCTGAATATCTGGGATATAATTATAATGGATTTTAATACAGAGAGGGATATTAAAGTGTTAATTCAGCCTGTTTCTGGACTCTGGATTCAGACCTGGGGCTGGTGATCGTGGATTCAAACAGAGGTGGGATAAAGGTTTCACAGAACTTTGTACTGAAGTTCAGAATGAAGAACTTAAAACTTTGACAGCACATGTGATTCAACTATCTGGATTAAATTAAATCCTGGAGTCCTTCAATTCAGGTTTCCTTCATAACAGTGACACCTGGTGATTGGAGGATCAACACAGACCAATCAACGCTCACCTCCCTCTATCTGATCAGCCAATGCTTCTTTAAAAGGCCTTTTCCACCCAAAACACGCCTTTTCTCTAAAGTCACTCATGATTTGATGTTATATTCCACCTGGATCCTTTCTAAAAATAGGATTTGGTGAAGTGTTTATGTGTTCACACTGACCTGAGGTGTTTTTAGGAGACCCTTCTCTCAGGATCTCCAGGGCGAGGAATCCAAAGGCGTTGAGTCTGTAGTTGAAGCTGACATAAACTATCTCAGTGTCAGCGGCGAGCTTCTCTGTGGGCGAGTATCCCGGCTCTCCTCCACTCAACGCCATCAGCCATCCTCCGTGGATCCACACCACGACAGGTAGCTTGGCGTCCAGCTGCAGCGTGGGCGTCCACACATTGATGAAAAGACAGTCCTCATGGCCCATCACCTTCCCTGAGCTCTTCATGGGTAAGATCTGGGGACATAAGCTGCGAAAACTTCCTGCATCCATCACCCCACTTCTGCACACCGGATCAGCTGGTGGTGCCCAGCGCAGGTTCCCAACAGGTGGAGCAGCGTAAGGCATTCCTTTAAAGGAGAAGGCGCCATTTTTCTGCAAAAGAAAGATCCAAAATTAACACGACATGAGCCTTACAAGCAGAAAAAATTAAAACCCCTCCTCAAAATATATGTTTACAAACGCAGTTTCTCTTTCACAAAGGGGTCCAAAATCAATCTGAATCTGGATTTGCTAAACCCAGTTCCAGAACTTACGTGTCTTCCTCTGAACTCCCAGCAGTCTACGGTCACCTGCGCGAGGCCAGGCGGCAGCGTCTGGGCAATGTAACCCAGGTAGGTAGCGAGCGTGAGCAAAGATAAGACGCCGAGGCAGATGAGGAAAATGCAGCGTCTGGAGAGCACCAGCAGAGGATTGATGTAGTTTCTGTGACGCACATACTGCACCTCCTCCTCACCCTCCTCCTGAACCAGGTAGCGGTACTCAGTCCTCTCAGGGACCTCAAACACACCCTCATCCATCTTCGATCTGAGATGCAGAAAATAGAAGACAGGATTATGTTAATCTCGTGTTTTATTGAAAATTTTATGCCAAATCAGTTGTCCCCATCAAATTAGGAAAAGTCATGAAATATGAAGCAAAAAATACAAAAGTCAAGTATTATTTTTTAAATGATAGACACTGAATGGGATCAAATTGATCCCAAGGATAATAGGAGGGTTCATAACCTGTCTATGTTACTTTGTCTTTTCCACCCTATGCCTTCACTGCCCTGACAGGAGTGGAACTCTGTACAAGCCTATCGGCTTCGTTCACTCCTTGCACTATTTTTAATCTGTGCTGAATAAATAAATACAAATTACTTTTACTACAAATCACACTTGTCTTACATTTGATGTCAAATATATTTGGATTGGGACAACAAAACATTGAAACAGTTTTTTGAAATTTGGAGGAAAATCTCCAAACTAGTGAGGTTAATTTGAAACCCTTCAGCGAAAAACAAAGAGCTTTGAAAAGAGGAAGGGATGGGGAGGCTTTCACTGCTCAGCTGACTCCGAACCCTTTACACCAGTCTGAGGTATCAAAAACTACAGATTAGGGATCATCAATCTTCTTTCTAATGATTTTATTTGTCATAAAAAGGCACCAATAGAAAAATTCTGCCTTTTTCATTTGTGTCAAAAAACTCCTCACAGAAGTTTGAAGTAGAATATTGATTCATAAAAATACATCATAAAGTACATTGAAGTCACACCAGACAGGAAATACTACTACTTTTACATCACTGTTACTTGCTATAATAATCAGTACTTTGTTTTAACTTTTACAGTTGCACAGAGATATTTTAGAGCTGATTTTAAAAAAAAAACTGTGAGTCTAAAGTCTCATCCTGAAACTGAGGAAAGAGCAGAACAATAGACGGATGTAGGAGAAGGAGGTCACTAACATCATGTAAAAGTTTGACTGTTACTGTCCACAGTGAATCCAGTAATCCTCTGTTAAACATTAAATAAACTTCAGCCTTGGATTAAAGTTTACCAAAGTGTTCCTACGACTGTCGTTCTCATGAAGATGTCACATAACCAAACCCCGTTCACAAATCATACATTTTTACATGACGCAAAACAATCACGTATCTCCGCTGTATCACTTCTCCTTCTGCTTCCTTTTTTAGACATAAACATCCTGTAACTCCGCCGTCTTCACCCCGAAATATTCAAACAACTGTTATAACTCTAAAACAAGTCAAACGACAGCCTCTTAACTTTTAAATTACTTACCATTGCCTGTCAACACTCAAAACATGGAAGAGAAAAACTCCAAAACACAAAACTTGACGTATTTACTTTCTAAGGGGCGGACTGCGCATGTCCTAACGGTTTGTTTACGCTTTCGCTTTTTTTTCACTTTTAAAGAGACAGTACACTCAACAGACAGACCGTACATCAATTTCCCCTTAAGTCTTTTTTTTTTAAAGATATAAGAGAGTCAAATTTATGCAGGAGTGGAACATAAACACACTTCAGTGTTCTGCTTAAGTAAAAGTAGGCTACAGTTATTTTAATGGTAAAAGTAAAACTACCAGTAAGTAAAACCTACTGTCCAGTACTGATTTTGGTCCTTGTCCCTTTTGCACAGAGATTTCTCCACATTTTTTCTGAATCTTTTATCGGTATGATTAACTGTAGATGTATTTCTTTGCAATTTTAGATTATTCTCAAATTGTCATAAATTCAGTCTCTCATTGATGAACCTATTTGGTCTTCTTTACCCTAGAACACCATCGCAAACAAACATGTTTACGTGCGTTTGTCTGAGTATATTATTTGGGGTAAAATTCACCTGGCGATAGTGATGGTGTTACTAATTTTAGCCATAGTGTTCTAGGGTTAATGCATCCTTAGCAAAGAAAAAGGAGATTTTTTTTTAAAATCCACATTTGGACAAGAAAAAAGAGTGTCTAACTATGATTTGACAGTTTTTAGTGCAATAAAATATTCCTTTTTTTAAGATTTCTGGGTTGAGGCTCTTTTTCATAAATAAAAACAAACATTCTGCTCAATCCATCACCGTCTTGACAGCTCACTTTGGTTTCATGTGTCATTCAAGCACAGACGGATAACCCTTACCTGGCTCACTGGTCAATTATCCACCTTCACCCTGTTGTGTGCTGCGATCAATAAGAAGAATCCCTAATGAGCCGAGAGACAGTGAACTGGCCCTGTCACAAACTGCTCCACTGAAACCCCATTATTAGAATCAGTCAGGGTCGATGCTGATGACAGCCTGCGCGCCCACGGTTAAATGTTTTCACTAATTGTTGGATGCACTGAGGATCCTGAGGGGGCTGAGTTTCTGCCTAGTCAGCCTTATTTACTCATTGATCTGCAGCAAAGAAGAAGGAGGAGGAGGCATGCAATGAGCTCTGCCAACATTTTCATGATTTCAAGAGTAGGAATCGTGCTGTTTTTAGCAAATAAACGGATGTATTTTGGTCTGCATTTAGAAAGGTTTAAAGGTTACTATAAGGAACGCATGTATCTGTGCATGTGATGTGACATTCACATTCTTGATTGTAGAGGATTAACTCAGGATTTTGGGGGTTTGGAAATGCAGTGAGCTGTTTTATGATTTGTACAGACTTGATTTTTTTCACCTGCTAATTTCCCTCTCAAACAGTAAATGCTGACACTGCAAAATATCCATTTTTATAGAGTATAATGTGTAATCTCTAAGTGCAGGAAAAGTTTAGCTGATTAGTTTTCTATTTGGAACATCCAATAATTAAGTTGCATTTGTATTTCAAACAGTTTTTAAGTTAATATTCCCAGAGTTAATCTACATAAATAAATGCAATAAAATATAGTCTATGATCTTGATTTGTAAGGTAATTATTCAAGTAAATGCTGCACTGCTACATCACAGTGGTCTAAAACCATGAGCTTCAAAATGTTGATTCACTGAATCTCTGGGATTTTTAAGGTAAACACTGGTACACATGAAAAAATACACAGGAGTGCAAGTGCATGACCCCTTGGGCCCATGTGTGCACATGCCTGAGGGTCAATATGATGTGCGGTTACTCCAGTATAACTCACTCACACACAGATGTCCAGTGAAGTCTGGATAATGCAACAGTGATTGCACTTTCAGGAGCTGTCTCAGCCTGTGGCGTTTTGCTCGCTCCATAATAACGCCATGAAGTCTGATAGGTGGTAACTTCAACTCAAACTCAGTGACGCCTTAATTCCCCTCGACACAAAGTGCAAAAAACTTTTGACCCGTCAAGTTAACCATCTGGAGCTGAAGTGGACTGTGCTGTTCAAAACCATGCTGGTGATGATATTCTCTGTTGGAGCGGAAGCAAAAAGACTATCCTGCTGTTTGAGTTTGATTTGCAAAGAGCACAGATTGAAGAAAATCGACATTTTTGTCAGATTTTGGCTTGAAACTGAACTGAGAAATGACAGCTTATACCTTTGTTTTGGTGATTTGTTTTTATTGGCAGCACTAACTTTCCCTTTGGATCATCAACATCTTCAGGCAAAATCAGTTAGAGTATGTATATCTATTTTTTTTTTTTTTTGTCCTCGTGGAAATCTTTTGGACCTTTGCAGCACTTAGTGCACTTGTTGCCTCTGCACTGTAGGATTTTTGTTAGTGCACATTTCTATATTGATATAACTACAGTCCAAAGTCCAGTAAGAACTCATAAGACTGAGGGTTTAAGAAAGCTAAAAAAAGCTATCCTCAACTTTAGTTTTGGTGTTGTAAGTTTACAGAAATGCATAATCATTCAAATGTAAGCAGAGGCCGTCATTGTGTGTTGCCTTAAGAGATCACCAGCACTAGGACTCCTGAATAACATCAGCTCTTACTTGAGTAGAAGCAGCAACTAATGCCCTCTGCAAGTCTGCAAACTTCCTGCAGTTGGCTGTGCAGTTTTCCGGAGTTCACAGCTTCATGGAGCGGCTGTTTTGGCTATAAACAGTCATTCTCCCTGATAAAATTTCTCCCATCCCTCATAAACATTGTGTTTAGCAGCAGCGACATTTCCCTTCACAGTATGACGAGGGAGAAAAAAATGAATGATCGGTTTTAGTTTCACCCAGCTGGATTATATTAACACGCATTCAGAATCTTGTTTACTCTGTGGGTAGAGGCATTCATCTAAAGCCGGCAGCCAGAAGGCCCGAATTACACTGTGACTTATGAGCAGCTATGTGTGTGTGTGTGTGTGTGTGTGTGTGTGTGTGTGTGTGTGTGTGTGTGTGTGTGTGTGTGTGTGTGCGTGTGTGTGTGTGTGTGTGTGGAGGCAAAATCAGAGTGCCACAAAAATGCAGCACAGTCACATTAGATATATATATTTTTTGGGTTAAATTTATGGAGTAATTTTTAAAAATCACCGCTTTCTTCTTTCTTCAACTTTCTTTTTCAGAGGTAAAAATACAGAAGAACTCAGAAGTTCACAGTTAAGCATTCAGGAGCCAATATGCTGTAAGTCATCCACCTTTTTTATTATGGACGGTTTGTTTTTGCTAGAAAGAAGAGATTTTTTCATCTCACCTGCTATTTTTAAGGTAAAAATAAAAAACTAAAATCACAGTCAAAACTGAGCACAGTTTAATTAACACAGATTAAACCGTGATCACAGAACCTGCAGGCCAAACATGTCAAATTATTGTGCTGAGCGTGGCTACCAGCAGCAGAGCTAGCACCTCTGGCTGTTGACTCAACTAGCCTCTACAAGAGAGCATCTCTCAATATTGCAGATTGCACCTAACTCTGAAAATCTGGAGTGCACAGCCCAGCAGGAGCCTCATTGGTCTGGAGAACTGTCAATCATAATGTTACATCTGCTCTTTTTGAAATAACAAAACCAGAACATCCGAGAACTCTTCGACTCTTTCTGCTTCTGACTGAATGTGGAAAAGCTTGACACCACCCCTCTAACTCCGCTGAGATAATGAGTTGTTATATTGGTATATTTGACATATTAGTGGGCTGAATAAGTCGGTGGCAATATCACCTTGCATCAAGCTATCATAAGAATAAATTGTCAATAAAGTAAATCCTGCATTTCCCTGTTGTTTATCAAAAATTCCGTGTAAATATGCATCATTTGAAACGTCTTTCGAGTGTCTGGAGGCAGAGCTCACAGTACGTTTCGTGACTGTGTCTGTGGAGTCACTTATCAACACCCCGTCTCCTCTTTGTTGTCCTTACACAGAGCTGACACATCCCTCTGAAGCCGCCGTGGGGCGAGTTTGGTTTCTATAAAAATCAACCTAATGAATCAGATGGTTTAGTTGTATTGTTGCGCTCAGCCTCACACGTATCAGGAGACAGAAATAGAAAGACTTCAGTGTCAGCGCCGTCTTGTTTTGTTTATTTGTCAGATTTTTTGGGAGTGATTTCTGCAGTTTGCATCAGAAGTTTGAGAGATCTCTTCCAGAAAAGTGTTTTTATTTCAGTCTCTGGTGTGAAAAACAGACGTTTGTGCGGAGTGTTTTCTCTGCACTCCCACAGATCCGCCCGTCAATCAAGCATCATGTCTGTCACTGTGACACAAAAAGGAAAGAGGTTTTTAGACTATGAAAAAGTTCTCCAAACAAGGACAGCCTGCTGATTAAATGCTCCAAAGTTACCCAAAAGAAAGTGAGCATGTCATATGATACCAGTGTGCTATTTGTTGATGTTTATATCTTATCCTCTTATGCCTTTTAATTGAAGACTGTGAAACACTTTTTGACACCTGTTCTTGAAAGGTGATATAAAATTTATGATGGTTTTATTATTTTATCATCAACCTTTTCCAGGCAGAGGTAAAATGTGCCCAGACCGTTTTTGCTCTTCGGGGATTTTGTTCAGTCACAATCAAATATTACCCACAACTGGGAGTCCAGTTTTAAAAGTTCAATAATGTAACGTCCTGCTTCGGCTCAACTTTATTTTGGTTGGATACAAAAATGTCGCCTGAGCTGAAAAACTGGACATGATTTGGTCTTTGCTCTCCTGCTTAAATATGATTGCACTGTGAAATCTACTCGAAAATAAAGTTCAGGAGTCTCTTTGCAAAGTTCACAAATCGAAGCACCTGCAAAGTCATGAGTATGAGCGGAGAGCAACACTTTATCAAAGAAATATCAGCGTCAGATTGTGCTGCGGGATCATAAAAACTCTTTATGGGGCTCCAGCCGGAGCAGAGATGCTTACAGAGTCGTCCCCTCAGTGTGAGATAGCGGAGAGGGTATTTCAGAGAAAACAGCTGCTGCCAAGTTTGTCCACAGCAAGCTGATTCCTAAAAGATACAAAAACTAAAAATGTGCATTTTTGGTCGCCCAAGGGTGCTCAGCAGCAGTGAGGTGCTGCAT